TACATGAAGTTGTTAATTGTTTCAACTTCTACATGACAATCCTTTAAATACTTAAAGGTAGCAATAATCTCCTACTCCCCCAATGAGCTAATGGTTTTGGGGTAGATACTGTGTCTCGTAATGCCCAAGTCTGTATTCTTTCTACCATCTCATACTACTACTTTCAGGAAACAGGAATGTTACAAAGATGAAAATGTCATTTGCCTAGAAGTTTCTAACTCTAGTGTTTTCATTGCACATAGAAGTGCTGCCTTAACATAGGCTGCAACAGGCCTGGGAATTGTTTGATTCTATTGTAGCCACCCTGAAAAGTTTGTGCTCGTAAGAAGAGGGATACTTGGGTCTAGCAGCAGACCAAACTACTCTTTTTCTCCCACATAAAGAAGTTCTCAGGAATTGATGAATCTGTTTTTATTTGGTACCTTATTCAAGGTTTAGAGGAGGAGGAAAGTGAAAAAAGACTGTTCATGGCATAGATTACAGAATCCCTGCTTTGAAACCTATTTTCATCTCTGTCCTCTGGTCTCAGACAGAATAGTGACTCTGATTGGCCTTTTCCTTTACTTTTCTTTTTCTTTTCTCTTCTTCTTTTTCTCCTCTTCTCCTCTCTCTCTCTCTCTCTCCATATCTATATATCTATATCTATCTATATCTATATCTATATCTATATCTATATCTATATCTATATCTATATCTATATCTATATCTATATCTATATCTATATCTATATATACATATATATATCTATATATCTATATATCTATATATCTATATATCTATCTATCTATCTCTCTCTCTCTCTCTCTCTCTCTCTCTCTCTCTCTCTCTATATATATATATATATATATATATATATATATATATATATTGACAGCTAAGAACAAAGTGGCTCTGATGAGAGTCCTAAACCTGTTGGGCACATTCCTGGGACTTGGGGCAAAAGGTAGGTTTTGCCCTTTAATAAAAGAACAGAAAGACACTGTCTAGATCTCTTTTTCACCTAACTCTTCCCCACTTACACCTTACCTTGCATTATGTATGCTTAGGTTGACTCTCCCCAAATCCCATCCCCAGTGGAATGTAAGCTCCCTTAAGGCAAGAACTGTGCTATTTTGTATCTTTACAGCACCAGCAGTTAGCACATAGTAGGTTAAATCAATGTTTCCTGAATAAATTTGAATGAAACAATTTTGGTTACTTCACATTGCTGGCTGGAAAGCATTAAGCATCCTTATTTTTTTTCCTACCAGGGCAGATGGATTATCCAACCTTTACTTCCCACTCTTTCTTCCTTTATGCCTTCTGGTTTTCTTTGCATATACTCTAAAGGGTCTTTCCTCTTATTTTTCAGGAAAAAGTTGAGGGTAGAAGGTTTGAAATTGTTTTCTGATGTGATGTCTTGGAATCCATCTTCAATGGTTTTATTCATTCTGCTACTCAGGTGCCACTTTCTACACCTAATTACTTTCCCTTCCTCAACCTTCGAGGTTATCTAGGTCAACCCCCTTGCTTAAAAATTAGGAAACCGTATCACACAGAATCAAAATTACCTAGCCTAAGGGTATGCCGGTAATAAGTAGTATAACTGGGGTTCAAACCGAGGTGTCCTGACTTCCAATCCAGCACCCCTCCAGCACCTCTACCACAACACTGTGCAGGTAAAATCAGTAAGACTTGGCAAGTGATTAGATATAGGGGAAGTGAGTGAGTCAAGGATGAGTTGCCAACCTGGATGACGAGAAAGGAAGTGACATTTTTACCAGATATAAGGCAATTTGGAGGGTGGGAGGATTGGAGCAGGTTTAGCTGTGGGGTGGAAGATAATGAGGTTTTTTTGGGATATGTTGATTTTGAGATGCTAGTTAAAACAATTAACAACTTCAGCAAAGTTACAGGATATAAAATAAAACCACATAAATCATCAGCATTTCTATTTTTTACCAACAAAGTCCAGCACCAAGAAATAGAAAGAGAAATTCCATTTAAAATAACTGCAGACAATATAAAATACTTGGGAGTTTACCTGCCAAGACAAACTCAGGAACTATATGAACACAATTACAAAACACTTTTCACACAAATAAGGTCAGATCTAAATAATTGGAGAAATATTGCTTATGGGTAGGCTGAGACAATATAATAAAAATGACAATTCTACCTAAATTAATTTACTTATTTAGTGCCATACCAATCACACTATCAAAAATTATGTTACAGAGCTATAAAAAATACTAACAAAATTCATCTTGAAGGATGAAAGGTCCAGAATATCAAGGGAATTATGAAAAACGTGTGAAGGAAGGTAGCCTAGCCATACCAGATCTCAAACTATATTACAAAGTGGTAATCATGAAAACAATCTGGTACTGGCTAAGAAACAAAGTGGTGGATCAGTAGAATAATTAGGTACACAATTGTTATTGTTTGTCCTTCTTTCTCAAAGAGGACCAGTGACACCAGGAGGGTGATGTCTTGACTTGCAAGTGAATTGGATTTAAGTGAAGCAGGGCTGCACAAAGTCATCAGCCTCCCTCTCTCCTCCAGAGCCATCTGGGTCCTGTGGCAAGATATAGATCAGGACAACTGGAGATGGCCCTGGATGCAGTGGGAGACCTTGGCCTTTTTAAGCTAAAGGCTTTCCCAGATCTCAGTTTGTCTGAGACAACAGTCAGTCAGTGATTTAAGACTGTGTAAGAAATGAGGCAAAAGATGGCCTAGTTTGCCTACTCAAAAAAAAAAATCAGTCTGGAAGGGAAAGACCTTCAGGGTTTCTGACCTGAACAGAAGCAATTGCTACTTACACTCACTCTGAGCTATCAAACCCAACCATGACCAGGTGAGGCTTGGGCTGGGACCTATCATTGGCCAATCAGTGAGAGCCAGAATGATTTGGATTTAAGGCACAGTCAAGTAGCTCCATTTGAATTCCAATGTGCTTTATCAAAGCCTGGTTTTTCTGAGCTCTATTTCAAGAAATCTTAAATGAAATTACTTGGGACAGAAGAGTTAATTGCCCCAGACAACACACAATAGTAAATGACCATAGTAACTTAGTGTTTGATAAATGTAAAGATCCAAGTTTTTGAGACAAGAACTCACTATTTGACAAAAGTTGTTGGAAGTACTGGAAAGAGTCTACCTGCCAAGACAAACTCAGGAACTATATGAACACAATTACAAAACACTTTTCACACAAATAAGGTCAGATCTAAATAATTGGCAGAAACTAGGTATAGACCAACAACTCACACCATATACCAAGATAAAGTCAAAATGGATACATGATTTAGTCATAAAGAGTGATCTCATACACAAATTAGGGGAGCATGGAAAATTTTACCTACCAGATCTACAGAAAGGAAAAAATGTATGACCAAACAAGAGAGAGAGAATATTATGGGATATAAGTGGATAACTTTGATTGTATTAAATTAAAAAGGGTTGTGGTTTTTTTTTTTTGCAAACTTTATGCAGCCAAGATTAGAAGGAAAGCAGGAAACTAGGGGGAAATTTTTACAGTAAGCTTCTATGATAAAGGCCTTGTTTCTCAAATATATAAAGAACTAAGTCAAATTTATAAGAATACAAGTCACTCCCCAGTTGATAAATAGTCAAAAGTTATGAAGGGCAGCTAGGTGGCACAGTGGATAGAGTGCTGGCCTAGAGTCAGGAAGACCTGAGTTCAAATTTGGCCTCAGACAGTCCCTAGCTATGTGACCTTGGGCAAATCACTTAATCCTGTTTGCCTCAGTTTCCTCATTGGTAAAATGAGCTGGAGAAGGAAATGGTAAACCACTCTAATATCTTTGGCAAGAAAACCCCAAATAGGGTCACAAGGAATTGGACATGACTGAAATGATTGAATAACAAAGGATATGAACAGGCAGTTTTCAGAAGAAAAAAATCAAAGTTCTGTTTATAGTCATATGAAAAAATGCTCTAAATCATTATTGATTAGAGAAATTCAAATTAAAACAACTCTGAGGCACCACCTCACACCTACCAGATTGGCTAATATGGCAGAAAAAGAAAATGACAAATGTTGGAGGGGATGTGGAAATGTGGGGAGACTATACACTGTTGGAGTTTTGAACTGATCCAACTATTCTGGAGAGCAATTTGGAACTATGCCCAAAGTACTGTAAAATTATGCTTACCCTTTGATCCAGTAATACCACTACTAGATCTGTATACCAAAGAAAACAAACAAACAAACAAAAACAATAAAAGAATCTATTTGTACAAGAATATTTATAGCATCTCTTTTTTGTGGTTGCAAAGAACTGGATATTTAAGAGGATGCCTATCAGTTGGGGAATGCTGAACAAATTGTGGTATCTGATTGTGATGGGATGCTATTGTGCTATAAGAAATGATAAACAGGATGAGAAAAACCTGGGAAGACTTATATGAACTGATGCAAAGTGAAGTGAGTAGAACCAGGAGAACCCAGTAAAAGCAATGATGATAATCTGTAAATGATTTAGCTATTCTCAGCAATACAGTAATCCTAAACAATTCTGAAGGACTCATGTTAAAAAAAATCCTTTCCATCTCCAGAGAAAAAACTGATAGAATCTGAATGTGGATCGAAGCATACTTTTTTAAAAAACTTTATCTTTATTTTTTTGGTCTGTGTTTTCTTTTGCAACGTGGCTAATATGGAAATATGTTTTGTTATGACTATACATATATAATCTCTACCAAATTACCTGTCTTCTCAAGAAAGGGGGAGGGAAAGAATTTGAAACTCAAAATTGTAGAAAACAAATGTTAAAATGTTTTTATATGTAATTAAGAAATATTTAATTAAATAATAAAAAATATTGGGGGGAGACATCTTTCCATGTTCCATTTTGGTTGAAACTACAAGGTACTCTGCTAATTACCTCCAAGCTGATTGTAATTTGGGGATGTAGGGGGGGTGCAGCAAGAATGGCAATGAAGCAACTCTATTCCAATACACTCTTTTCTAAGAGTGTCTTTCCTTCTATTTTCAGAGCTTAGAAGGAGGTTCTTACCGAGGGAGCTTGAAAGACCCCACAGGTTGTCTGAATGAAGGGATGGCTCCACCTACACCACCTCGGAACCTGGAAGAGGAGCAGAAAGCCAAAGCCCTCAGGGGCAGGATGTAAGCCAATGTGGGGGAGGGAGGGGTTGCAGTGCTGAGAGCAGGGGGAAACTATTCTTCAGCATATTCAAAAGGAGGGACAAGAAAGATGTTTTCCAAAATAAATCACTGTGGAGTAGAGTCAGGATAAGAGGCAAGGGAAAATATAGCACAGGCGGAGATGCAATAAGAGATTCTTTTAAATATTATTTCTTATACATTTTGGAAACAATTTATTGATATCTTTTGTCTTTATATAACCTACATTTCTAAATATATTTTTGTGCCTCTCCTACCCAGCAAGCCATCCTTGGTGACAATCATTTAAAAAGAGGAGGGGAAAAAAGTAGAGCAGCAAAACTAACATATCTAGCCAAGTCTGATGGTATATGCAATGTTCTATACACATCATCCCCCACTATTGAAAAGAAACAGGACGTACATCCTCCCTCCCTTCTCTAGGGCCAGCTCTGGTCATTATAATTACACAGCGTTCAGTTTCAAGGCTCCTTTCCACCTGTATCATCCTGTGCCATGTGTCTATTTTCTGGTTCTGCTTCCTTCACTGAGTTTCAGTTGATAAGTGTTCCTATGTTTTTCTGAATTCTTGCTATTCATTGTTTCTTACGGCACAGCAATAGTCCATTACATTTGTGTAGCACAATTTGTTGAGCAGAAATGAACATTTTCAATACCAGAAATTTCTAATGTCCACAGTATATAGGCTTCTGGTTAATAGTAAGTCAAGCTGTGTGTGCTACAGAGAAGGCTCAGAGCCCCTGCTGAGCCATACATCCAATAAACCCAATTTTCAGACCTTATCTAAGGCTACCAAGGGTCTTGGCCCAGTCCTGCAGGTACCTTTCATTCCGAATAAAGTTGACCTACAGACTTTGATACTTTTAAACATTGAGGAGAAAATAGAGAAAAGAGAAAAGGAGGAGGAGAAGGAGGAGAAAAGGGAGAAGGAGGAGAAAAAGTAGAGGGAGAAGATGAAGGAGGAGGAGGAGGAGAAGATGAAGCAGGAGGAAGAAGGAGGAGGAGGAGGAGAAGATGAAGCAGGAGGAAGAAGAGGAGGAGGAGAAGGAGGAGGAGATGAAGGAGGGGGAGAAGACAAAAGAGGAGGAGGAGAAAGAGGAGAAGGAGAAGATAAAGGAGGAGGAAGAAGAGGAGGAGAGAAGAAGAAGAAGGAGGAGGAAGGAGAGAAGAAGAAGATGGAAGAAGAGAAGGATAAGATGGAGGAGGAAGAGATGAAAGAGGAGGAGATGATGACGATGATGATGATGATGATGATGATGATGACAATGACACTGAAGATACCTGATGACTAAAAATTAAGGACTTTCTAGACTGGATTGGGTCATGTGTTTAAATAGCAGCCCTGACTGGCAGTGTTACTAGAACCCAGCCCTAGAAATTGTAAATACCTTTTCTCTATCCAGAGAAAAGGAGAAAGGAAAAGGAGAAGCTCCAGGACCTGTGACCATGGAGTCAAGAAATCCCCAGACATGAGACAAAGTCCATGGAGATGCCAGGGAGTGGTTGATGACTGAAGTGAAAGACCAGTGTGGAAAAGTGAACTAGGTGGGGACACCAAATGCAACAGGCATTGTCCCAACAATGTAGAGTGATACTTTATCATACTCCAATGTGATAAGCAACTTCTCTCCTCCTCACCCTCAGTTTCCACCTCATTATATTCAGGAAGTAGTGTCAAACTCAGATGGAAGAATCCTTGTCACATATTGGCTTAGAAAACCACAAACTATTATCTGTGTTGTGTTTTTATTTATTCTGTTAAATATTTCCCAATTATATTTTAACCTGGGGGGGGGCCAGTTTAACACCTCTGTATTAGGGAATCTTTTTCCCATGGGAACAAGACATGGACCCAATCTAATAACTCCTGTCATTGCTAAAAGACTGTAGGAACATGGCTCTCACACTTTGCTCTGCACAAGGGTTTGTGGGACTTGCACTGACAAAAGAAATAAAAATTGCTAGTCACATATCTGACACCACCTGAGTGGGATCTTGTCTAGGAAGAGAGAAGGATGTTCGTGATACTTCTCACAAGTATACCCCTTAGTGCTTTACATGATAGATGTGTTCCCAGAAGGTTGTATAGAATTTGAGTTTTATAAATGAAATTTTGATGTAAGTGAACTAGGGGAGCTTTCTATAACCTGCCAGTGAAACTTTCTGTATTGTGAATAATCCAAATTTCCTGGATTTTGTCATTTTAGATTCACTGGGTTTTCTCAAAGTGTAGGTCAGCTTGCCCAAGTTGCTTCATTTCCCGGGACCTCAGTTTCCTCATCTGTAAAATAAGGCTGTTGGACCAGAGGGCTTCTGAGACTCCCTGTATTTCTGGAGATAGGATTGTAGGTACATTTAGTAACACAAGTTCTCGTCGACTCATCCTCTTCATTTCTCCCCCATACAACTCCTAGCCCCTCCGAATATTTCTCAGGGTCACATAGATGAGTGAGAGGCAAACCTAGATTCCTACTTGGGCCTCAGTGAAGCAGAAGGTGCATGTGTCTTGAGCCTGCGATGTTTGAGGGCACCTCGGGCTCAGGGTGCCTTGGTACAGTTAGCAAAGTCAGTCACAATTCTTAGAAATGTGTGCCTATTGAGCTCGAAGGGCCCTTGAGAGATCATTCAAGTAACTGCCTGGCGGCCTGGCAAAGCTGTCATTCCAAACCGATGGGCATCTCCTTCTCGTTCCATCTGCCTTCCTCTCCAGGCCTCCTCCTCCTCCTCCTCCCCAAAGAGAATCCATCTGATTTCTCGTTTTGCACACCTTACTGACATGAAGCTCTTTATCTATCCTAAATATATCCTGCTGCAACTGAAGGCCAATTGGTCTTGATCTGCCTCCAGTGGAGATAAAGAGATGTTCACTGCTTTCTTTTATAGAACAACCTCATGGCAGATCAACTGATACGACAGGATAGCACTAGACATTCTGCTTGGTAATAGTGGCATGTGGGAAATAAGGTACTGGACAGGATCCAGAGGATGAAGACGGCAGTAGGGGGCTAAGGGGCAGCTAGGTGGCGCAATGGGTAGAGCACTGGACCTGAGTTCAAATCTGGCCTCTGACAATTACTGGCTGTGTGACCCTGGGCAAGTCACTTAACCTCTGTCTGCCTCAGTTTCCCCATCTGTAGAATGGGGATAATAATAGCATGTGCCTCCTTGAGTTGTTCAAATAAGGTAATAATTGTAAAGGGCTTAGCACAGTGCCCAGCATAAAGTAAGCACTTTATAACTGTTAGTTTTTATCCTTGTTATTGTTATTAAATCTGACCTCAGACACTCAAGCTGTGTGACCCTGGACAAGTGCTTAACCACTGTCTGCCTCAGTTTCCCCATCTGTAGAATGGGGATGATAATAACAGCATCTGCCTCCTCGAATTGTTCAAATAAGGTAATAATTGTAAAGGGCTTAGCACAGTGCCCAGCATAAAGTAAGCACTTTATAACTGTTAGTTTTCATCCTTGTTATTGTTATTAAATCTACCCCAGACACTCAAGCTGTGTGACCCTGGACAAGTCACCTAACCACTGTCTGCCTCAGTTTCCCCATCTGTAAAATGGGAGTAATAATAGACCCTACCTCCCAGGGCTGTTGTGAGGTTCGAATAAGGTAGTATTTGTAAAACACTTGGCAAACCTTAGAGTATTAGATATAATGCTAGCTAATAAAAAGGTTAGAAAATACTGCTGAGGAGGAAAGACCATAGAGTCCTAGCGGGAAGGAGATTTAGAAATCTCTGCGCTAGGACGGGGGGAGATGAAGTTTAGATGACACTGCCGCCCTCATGGAGCTGATAGTCCAGCAGCATATGGCACAGGCGCTGCTGTCCGCTGCCACGGCAAGAGCCCTGACTTTGGAGTCAGAGAACCTGATGTGATTCTTGGTTCTGCCGCTTCACTCCAGTGGGACATGAAGCAAGTCCCTTGACTGCTTTGACCTCGGTTTTCTTCATCTGGAGAATGAGGGGGCTGGGCTAGATGAGCTCTCAGGGCCCTCCCAGCTCTGGAGCTGTGATTCTGACACGTGATCAGTGTGTCACCCAGGTAGATGAAGCAAAGTGCTAGGTGACAGCGGAGAGAAGAGGGGGGTTATCACTGGCTGTGCAGATCAGGGCCTGTCTCCTGAAGGAGGTGGCATGTGAAGTCGCCCTTTGTGTCCCGGGTAAGCAGTAGGCAAAGGGGGGAAGAGAGGACAGGGACTTAGTGCAAGTGCAGCCACAGGGGGTCAGTACAAAGCAAGTGGTGCATTGAAAGGAAAGGAAGGAAGAAGGAAATAAACATTATCAGGCACCTACTGTGCACCAGGTGCCAAGTGCTTTTTAAATAATATTGCCTTTGATCCTCACAACAACCCTGGAAAATTAGTGCTGTTATTGTCCCCATTTTACAGTTGAGGAAACTGAGGCAGATAGCAGTTAAATGACTTAACTAGTATGATACCTAGTAAGTAGCTGAGGTTAGATTTGAATCTGGGTTTTTCTGACTCTAGGCCCAGCATTATCTCCTATACCACCTAGCTATCTCTAATCCAGTCTGGTTGGTGCGTAAACTGAATGCAAGATAAGGCAGAGTGGTGCCCAGTTGAGGAAAGCCTTAGATGCCAGGTGAAGAACTCTGAACTTCACTTAATTGGCCATAGAGAGCCACCAAAGATTTTTTTAGTCAAGGAGTGGTGTGACCCATGTCTAAGATAGGTCAGTTTGGCAGTGGGGCGAAGGCTTTTTGGTGGGGTAGAGAGCACGGGAAACCTGTTAGTAAGGTATCATGGTAGTTCCAGCTGGTGGTAGTCATGGTGTGTGTCAGGACGACAGCAGAGTAAAGAGAGCAGAGAGAAAAGATAGAAAAGTTTGTTGAAGTAGAGTCAATAGGACTTAATAACCACTTAATGTGAAATATTAGAGGGAGGGAAGAATCAAAAAGAAGTCAGGGCTGGAGGTGATCCATGTGGGAAGTCATCTGCGTGGAGATGGTAGCTGATGCTGTGCAAGCAGAGAAAAGAATGCTGATGAGGAGTTTAACTGGTCTGGGTCACTGGAAAGCAGTTTTCATGATAGACAGTGACACTCATGGGGCAGCGAGGTGGCGCAGTAGATAGAGCACTGGCCCTGGAGTCAGGAGGACCTGAGTTCAAATTCAGCCTGACACTTGACACTAGCTGTGTGACCCTGAGCAAGTCACTTGACCTCAATTGCCTCACCAAAAAACAAACAAAAAAAAAAAACAGTCATTAAGGACAGAGTCTGGGAGGAACAGACCTAAACTGCAGCTGGAGAGATTCAAGCAATGCAGACACGGTAACTTCTACTTCTCAAATGGCCCTTACCTCTAGGACCAGACTCTCGGGAGACAGAACTTACCGTCTATAGAATTAATTTGCCACTTAATCAGGGATTGCCTTGTGGTGTTTCCTTTTCTTAATCTTAAATAACCAAAGATTTAATTAGGAATTTTGCTTTTCAGTGTTTTCATCTTATCATCCCAGCTGGATTGTAAACACAGCAACTTACCTGTAGGAGATGCCTCAATAAATGCTTATTGAGTTGATTTGAGTGAAATCTCCCTCCCTGGAGAACTGAAAGAAAAGCACAGGGATGTATCTGTTAGGGAATAGCCCAGAGTAGAACTGCCTGGAGGGTAGAGACTGGCCCCGTAGAGCCCTCCTGGCTCTGAATGGCCCCTCTGGTTTTTCTGTATGAAGGCTTGTTCCCACTTTCTATTGAACAGTAACCATTCTAAGTCCATGCTAGGACTTCTCTTCCCCCAAAGTATATTTAGATGCATTCATCCTTGTCATTTCCTCTCTGTGGCCGGAAGCACAGTCATCCTCACCAGAGAGGAGGGGGATAATGGAAGTATTCCTTACACTGATAAAGAAACTCCTCCCCTTCTTTGTCATCCTTTGCCCTGTGGTCTCAGGCCTTGGCTAGAAGTAGGATCAGAGATATAGAATAGGAAGGAACCTTAGATACCATCTAATTAAGTTCCTCAGGAATGAGGAAAGCAAAGACCAGGGAGGCTGTGACTTGCCCAAAGTCATACAGAAAATAAGGGTCAGAGGTGCGATTTGAATCCAATGCTTCTGACTCAGAGCTATCACTTCTACCATATCATACTCCCATAATTCTATAATACTATGCAACAGACTCTCATAATTATGTTATGTTTTGCGGAGCAAATATTTCAGCAGCCCTGGTGTAGAGCCTGACCTCTGACAGGCCAGAACTTTGACTTTTCTCCATCTTTTCATTAGATTCAACAATGCAGCTGTCCAACTCCAAGAGTCACCAGCAAGGTTGGGGTTTAAGGCCCAAGAAAACCACACAGTTTACCCCACCTTCCAGCCAGTACTCCTCAATTCTTGACTGGTTGTCTGGAAAGAAGAGATACAGAGAGCAAAGGGATGTTGCTTAGGTCCCAAGGACTTAGGAACAACCTAGGAGTCAGTTTGAATAATCCACTGAGAAGAAATCATCCTTGTAGGATACAAAGCTGGCATCCTAGGGGCCTATTAGTGGTGCTCTTCCTCAGCGGTCTGACAGCATCATTTAAATTGAGGTGTACATAATATTTCCAGTGGGAGGGATCCTGGGGGAGACAAAATCCCCTTTCTGCAATAGATCTCAATCCTGGATCTTTGAAGGTTTCCTGGCCAGCTCCATAGATAACCACCTTATTCTGGCTGCCTTTTTTTTTTGTAACTTCACTTGGTGTTATTGAGCCTAATGGTCTTTAAAAAATAGTCATTAGACAGGCCCTTTCCTTAGCACCTGTCTGAATAACCAAAGAACAGAGATAAAAGAAAGGTAGCCATTCTTGTCTTAAATTAGCAGAGCTAGAAGGTGCCTTAGAGGTCATCCAGAGTAACCCCTTCATTTTATAGATGAAGAAACTGAGGTTCAGAGAGGAAACAGTAATCTTGGGCTTGGTGATCCAGCCTTGCAGCATTCAAGACTTGGCTTTTTCCAAAGACGTGGCTTTGTTTTCCAGCAAGTATAAATTTTTTGCTTCAGAAAAGCATCTTGGTAGAATTCAACTAACATTTATTGAACATTTACTATGTGCCCGGCATTTTGCTAAGCTCTGAGGATACAAAGAAAGGCAAAAACATAGTCCCTGCCCTCAAGGAGCTTACATTCTAATGGAAGGACAACTTGTAAACAGCTGGGTAGATACAAGCTATATACAGAACAGATGGAAAACATTAAAACTTGAGGATGGGGAAAGGCCTCCTACAGTAAGTGGGATCTGAGCTGAGTCTTGAAGGGACTCAGAAACTAGGAGGCAGAGGCTGAGGGGATTACTGTTGTTCAGTTGTTTTCAGTCATGTCTGACTCTTCATCACCCCATTTGGGGTTTTCTTGGCAAAGATACTGGAGTGGTTTGCCATTTCCTTCTCCAGCTTATTTTACAGATGAGGAAACTGAGGCAAACAGAGTTAAGTAAGTTGCCCAAGGTCACACACAGGCAGTAAGTGTCTGAGACTAGATCTGAATTCAGGGAGATGAGTCTCCCTGACTCCAAGCCCTGCACTCTGTGCATTATGGCGCCACCTAGCTGCCCTGGCTGAGGGGGTAGAGCTTTCCAAATGTGGGGAAATGCTAAAGCAAAGTAACTGAGGTAGGAGATGGAGTGTTTGTAGAATTCCAAAGCTGCTGGAACATAGAATACATGGAGCAGATTACGGTATAAAAAGACTGGAAAGTGAGAGCAGCTAGGTGGCACAGTGGACACAGCACTGGCCCTGAAGTCAGGAGGACCTGAGTTCAAATCCAACCTCAGACCAAACACTTAACACTTACTAGCTGTGTGACCCTGAGCAAGTCACTTAACCCCAATTACCTAAAAATTAAAAAAAAGACTGGAAAGGTAGGAAGAGACTAGACTATAAAGAGCTTTAAATGTCAAGCAAAGTACTCAATATTTGAACCAGGAGGGTGGGGAAGGTAACAGATGTGGTCAGAGAAGCAAATATAAAAAATGCTAAATAATATGGGGGGGGAGAGGAGTAGAAACTAGCAATGGGGAAATTTGTGAAAGGTCTAATGTCAGAAGCAGCATCTGAACTGAGCCTTAAAAGGGATCCATGAAGGGAGCGAGAAAGATCAATTCAGGTATGGGGGGCAGCAAAGGCAAATGCAGGAGACAGAATGAATTAGGAGACCTGGGTCTGGATCCCAGCTGTGCACTTCCTAGCTGTTCGCTGATTAGTTGTAGACTTTCTTAGCAAGTCGTTTCATCTCTATGGACCTATTTCCTCATCCAAAAAAAGAAGGCATTGGATTGAGTGGTTTCTAAGATGCCTTCTAGCTCCGAAGCCTAGAGAAGGTCTACTTGTGGTATAGAAAGAAAAAAGAATCCAAGGTTGGGAAAGAGAAACCCAAAGTTCTCTTCCCACCTTGGTAAAGTCATCAGCCCTATTTAGGCACCATTTCCCCCACCTTAATCGTGGAAAACATCCTCGAGAATGTGAAGGCAAAGTAGATCTCCCTCCTTCCCCCATCTTTTGGATACTGTGTAAAGAGAATTTTCCATTTTATCATCAAAGGTCAAAGGTAATAATATCCTGTGAATTTTAATGAGGAAGTTAAATAAAGAAAAAGCATCTCTCCTAATCACTAGTAGAAAACCTCAATATTCTTGTTTTTCCTTTCAGGTTTGTCCTGAATGAGCTGGTCCAGACAGAGAAAGACTATGTGAAGGACCTGGGGATTGTGGTGGAGGTGAGTAGAGAAGCACAATTTGGTGCATTTGATCCCCGTGTATTTGCAGAAATGTAGTTTAGATTTTCATTAGAAGCAAATAAATGGAGTATATTAGCAAGCTCATACATAAATCTTTGGACTTTTCATTTCCCCTTGATTGGCTCATTGTGATATGGGTCTGTGTATATGATGTTTGAGGAATATGTAAGAGGCCATCCTTGTTGGAGAAAAAGGCCTTTCTTTGCTTCTGATGTTTAATGAGACTGTCCAACTGTTAGCTTCTCTTCTGGAGTTGGGGAATGCCATTTGCTCTTCAGAGTGAGAGCCATGACGATCTAGTGAGCTTGAGGAGGGCACTCTCATGACTATGGACGTTTGAAGAATAAGAATGATTTAGATATTGGGCAAGGGAGAGAATGCATAGAGTAGAATAGCATTCAATAGCTATGATATGCAGGATGGGTAGACTTAGGAAAGAAGTCAAAAGCATTTATAAAGTGCTTGCTATATTCCAGGCACTATGATAAGCACTTTATAGATATTATTTCTTGTGATCTTCACATCAATTCTGGGGGATGGGTGCTGTCATGATCCTCATTCACACAGCTAGTAAGTGTTATGTGTTTGAGGCCAGATTTGAGCTCAGGTCCTCCTGACTCCAGGGCCGGTGCTCTATCCCCTAGATACCCCCAATATCAAGGCAGACAGATTAAGTAATTTGCTAAGGGTCATAAGTGTCTGAAACCAAATTTAAATTTGAGTCTTCCTGACTCCAGGCCCATCATGCTATATCCGCTGTACCACCTCAATGTCTCTAATTAGGAATACTGGTGGTCAGCTACCCTAAATCCTAAGGTTAGGAAGAAGAGATCTAGTACCCAGCATTGTGGACTAATACCCCGCATCCTGAACCTGGGAGATCTGTCATTCTTTTCCAAGAAGCAGGAAAGCAACTTGGACTTTTCAGTGTATTGTACATAAAACCCCCATCGACAGAGCCTATCCAAATTCATTCATTTATGTATTCTTCCAACTGACATTTTGGCAACACCAACTGTAGACAGTGTCATAAGGCGTAGACAGTCTTGAACTTGCCAAGAGGTCATTGTAGCTGCCAAGATCACCATTTTTGTCTATCCTTTATATTTACTTATCTGTGTATATATTGATTTTCCCCCAGTAGAATATAAGCTTCTTGAGGGCAATAACTTTTCATTTTTGTGTTTGTGACCTATATACCCAGCACAGGACTTGGCACATGGTGGCTTAAGAACCATCAACAATACCATCCCCATTAAAAGTGACTCCAGGCCCATCATGCTATTTCCACTGTACTACCTCAATGTCTATAATTAGGAATACTGGTGGTCAGCTACCCTAAATCCTAAGGTTAGGACCTGAGTTCAAATCCAGCCTCAGACACTTACTGGCTGTGTGAACCTAGGCAAGTCACTTAACCTCTGTCTGCCTCAGTTTCCTGAACCATAAAATTGAGGATAATCATAGTTAGTACCTGTCTTCCAGGGTTGTTGTCAGGATCAAATTTATTAAGCACTACAATGTGCCATTTATTTATTTTTAAAAATGAAAACTTCTCAAATGTTATTTAATTTACATTTGCTTATTTAATTTAAAATTAAATCTTTTCAAGCATTATTTAATTGAAATTTATTTTAAAATTGCAAGCTTCAAGGAGGACAGGAATTGTTTGGTTTTTTCATGTGTGTGTTTATTTGTTGCAACATGGAAGCTTAATAAATGTTTATGGAATTGGATAGAGGTGGGGGAGACCAAACTCCCCGCCTTTTCCTTCTGATGGGCAGGGCGGAAGAGATTCAGGGTTGTAGAGAAAAGAGCTCTCTTGAAATAACCTTTCTCATGTTCACCTGAGCAAACTTCTTAGAACCATCACCAGGTCAGGTGGGGGGGGGGTGGCCTGGGCAGGTCTGAGCTGGAGCAGGCACTGTGGTGTGGTCATAGGCATGGTCCAGAAAGGCTGATTTGCAGCTGTCTCTGAGAATACTCTCTGTTGACTTCGGCACTGCAGGGATTCATGAAGAGAATAGAAGAAAAGGGAGTCCCTGAAGACATGCGAGGGAAGGACAAGATCGTGTTTGGCAATATTCATCAGATTTATGACTGGCATAAAGAGTAAGTGAATGACAGTGCTTCCAGCAAGACCAAATCACTGAGCGCTCAGGACTTCTGAATCCTCCTCTTACTGCTAAGATACAAGTGGTTGGGACAGGGTGATTTACACACACACACACACACACACACACACACACACACACAGCAAAGCATGCCAGGTCTTGTGATTGATATAGACAAGGATGGACATTACACCCAGTCTGGGGGAAGTAACGTGGGGCTCAGGGAGATTACTGGGAGTGATGTCTTTGCCATTAGGGAAATAAATAGTTCTGAATAATGGTCTGAATTTTTCTCCTCTTCTTCCTTTTAGTTTTTTCCTGGGTGAACTGGAAAAATGTATTCAGGAGCAAGACCGGCTGGCACAACTTTTTATTAAGCACGTAAGTGTCCCTCTGGGGATCCTTTCTCTTTTTCCCTCCTTCCTCAAGTTTTTCCATCATGGCACTTTAGAGAATGACCTGTAGTCAGAGCCTTAGATTTAGAATGAGAGGAGACCTTAGAGATCATCTCATCCCACCTCCTCATTATGTCCAAGAGGAAGCTGAGGCCTAGAGGAGTTAAGTGACTTGCCCAAGGTCTCACGGGTTTACTCCCTGTCTCTCACCACATTTAGTTTCAGGGCTGACTAATGGCATGCCTCTCAAAGGTTCCTGCCTCCCCACAGAACCCTGGATATCACAATGATCAATCCTTTTGCCTTTTTCAGGAGCGGAAATTGCACATCTATGTGTGGTACTGTCAGAATAAACCACGGTCAGAGTACATAGTCGCAGAATATGACGCCTACTTTGAAGTAAGCCTCCAGGCGGGCTTGGTGGGAGAAGTCAGAAGCCAAGGGGGTTTCTGATGTGTATTTATGGGATGCCTGTGGGTCATCACCGTTCATTGTCATCTATCAGTGTGCAGCTCCCCACTGTTGTGTTTATGAGCTGGAAGGAACCTCAGAGACCATCTCCTTTATTTGATAGATAAGGAAAGTGGGGCCCCTGCTTCTCAACACACACACACACACACACACACACACCACACACACACAGAGTAAGCTTTCCCTTATAACAAAGAAAAACAGTTAAACAAAAGGAGCTAATAGAGTGAGCCCATCTGACTGTGTATGTACCATTCTGCATGCATAATCCCTCACCTGTCCAAGAAAAGGAGGATGGTGTAGGGGGCAATTCTGTAATTGACCTGTCTTTTATAGAGGCTCTGGTAATTCCTCCCATGATGCCCCAATACCCTTTAGCATCTCTTTGACTTTATTGGGTTCTATTCTCTTTCTTGGCCCTAGAGACTCTTCACTGCATTCCCATCCTCCTAGTTCCCTTCTCATGCTTCCTCATGTTACTCTGTTGAAACATGGCAATCCCAGGGCCTTGGGGACCAAAAGGGAGAGGAAGAATCATTTCCTGGAAGAAGCCATCAGCTGTAGTTTAGGAGACCTGAGCTGGGCTTCCAGCCTTATCCTTCACAGTAGGCTCACTTGAGTGACTTTGGGAAAGGCCTTTCTTTTACTTGTCTGGATGCCTGTGAACAATGAGGAGAATAATCCCTGTCCTCCTCAGGCTCTCAGAGTTAATGTGTGGATGTGAGAAAAGAAAGCTCACAGTGAAGGCAATGTAAAGATAGTAGAAAGAGGAGGCATCTGGGGGGTGGAGAGAGGTGGTACCTCTTTAAAGGGAGGTACCAATCAATGCATTTACTAAATGCCTACTATATAGTAGTCACTGTGCTTAGTACTGGGAATGCAAGGACAAGAATGAAATAATCCCCGCCTTCATGGAGCTTATATTCTATTAGTGGAGACAACTTAGATATAAACATACATATAGTATATACGCACACACTCATATTATGTTGCACATACATGTGTGTATACATATATTCATGTGTGTATGTACAGGTGTGCATATAAATTTGTGTGCATATGTAGGCAGTTGTATGTATATATTACTGTTTATTGCATTGTATGCATATATTTGTGTGAGCATATTCAAATATGTATGTTCATATGTGTATGTATATACATATGTGTACTGCTTTTGCATTGCTGCATTCACATGTGTGTATACATATGCATACATTTGTGAGTGCAGCATTGCTCTCTTATCCTTTATGCCAGTCATGGAGCTGATGAATATTGCCAAACATGGTCTTGTCTTTTCCTTGGATGTCTCCAGGAACTCCCTTTTCTTATCTTCTCCTCATGAATTCCTGCAGCACCAAAGTGCACACTCGTGCACAAACACACACACATGCAAGACAACCTGTATACATATACATAAAATAACTATAAAATAATGGGGCAGGGGAGTGGCCCTCACCACTAGGGGAGTTCTTTTAAGTGAGGCATTAGTGAACAAGGCGTCCATCCTGGGCATGGGGGATAATATATACAAAGGCATTAGGATTTAGGAAAGCTGGCCATCAGCATCCCTAATTAGAGGCGGCTGGGTGGCACAGAGGATAGCGTGATGGGCCTGGGGTCAGACTGAAGATGGAATGTTGTGCATAAGGAACAGCAGGACAGGCAGTCTGACCCAAAGGTAGCACTATGCCTGAAGGAGAATAATATACATCATGTACCACCTCAGGGTGTTCTACCATGATGCGGAGATAGCTCCCTGCACCCTCCCAATAAATAGGTGGCACTTGATGCAGGGGGACGGGAGGGTATTCTTTCCTAAATGTTTATGAATTCAAACAAAGGCCCCGGAGCATTTCTGAGGGACGGCTGCCTTGGTCACTCTGTTCCCCCAGAATGCAGCTCTCTGGGTAATGGCTATTTTTCTAATGGAATTACCTTATTTTCCAGGAGGTGAAACAAGAAATCAGCCAGAGGCTGACACTTAGTGACTTCCTCATCAAGCCCATTCAGAGAATAACCAAGTACCAGCTGCTGCTCAAGGTGAGTGGAGGAAGGAGAATCTCAGGTCCCATCTGGGGCAGTGTTCACCTAGGGTCAGCCACTGAGTACTAGTAGACATCCTAGGTGATCTAGACTGTGCAATCCAGTTCTGTGCAGTCACATACATGGGGGGAGGGCAGGGTGGAGGGAGGAGAGAAGAAGAGAATGGAAGAGTTGGAGAGAAGGGAGAGGAGATAGACGGTATGGACTGGACCTGTGATGTCATTGGTATCTGGGACTCCCAGGTAAGGAAACTCCTTCACCAAGGCAGATGGGCACTTTGTCTGCAACTTAAAGTCTGCAAGAACTGCATAGAGCACAGAGAAGTTAAATTACTTGCCTAAGGTCACACAGCCAATTATGCATCAGAAGCAGGACTTGAATCCAGATCTTTTTGGCTTTGAGGTGCATTCCCTATCCAATATGCCATACTGCATATCTCTCTCTCTCCCCCTCTCTTTCATATATATATGTGTGTGTGTGTGTATGTGTGTGTGTATATGTATATATATATAATATATATATATACATATACACACACACATACACACACATATATACATAGAACATTGTTAGTAATTGCATCCAGTTATACATGACTGAACATCAGTTGCTTGTATTTACATTGCCTAAGAGCAGACAGTATAATTGCTGTTGATGGTAGTTAAGGTGTTGATTTAAAGAAATAATTTAATTTTCTTTTACCTTAAACTTTTAACTTAAAAAAACTTAGGTATGCTAAACTATAACTATAAACACTTAAAAATTAATCTCTGCATATATTTTCTACATATCTGTAACAGTTCATTAGTCGTTCTTTTTCTATTTGTCTAATCATTTGTATCTATACAGAGATCTAGTCAATATTTATGTATATATAAATACATATCTACATATTAGATATATAATGATATATCACCTATATATTCTATGTCTATACACACACACACACACACACACACACACATATATACCCTCCTTCTGGGTCTCTTTTCTCCATGTCACATTATTTCACCACTTTTTTCCAAAGTTCTACTTCCCATGTCTATAATTTTTAAAATTCATCTTGAACTTAAATACGTAAAGACAAAAAAAAACATGTACACAGCACAACATAAAATGAAAATTCACTATAAAACCATGAATTTATATTTCACATTGTTTACTTTTTCTTGAAAAATTATATAAGTACTACACATTGTTTTCAAAGCCACTCTGTTTTCTATGCTTCCTTCTAAATTTTTCTATTCTCTGCTGTGCACTTTTTATGTATTTTCCCACCCTCTGTATCCCTCCCTAGAGATGGCTACCATTAAACACAAATATATATGTGCATGTATGTATGTGTGTGTATACATATAGAATCATACATACATCTATCTATCAGTTCTTTCTCTGGAGGCAGATAGAATGTTCCTTCATACCATGTGTCATTTAGGATTGAGTGTAACTTACTGAGAGTCCAGTTTGTTTTTAGCCTTTCATCAATTGTTATACATATATGTTGTCTCTAGTTTGTTGCAGTCAGTGTTGATGTATTATATATACATTTATACAAACCCACATGCATATACACACAGATGCACGTGCACACACATGTTACATAGACACACAGACACACTCCACCCCAGGCCTTTCCCAAAGCCCTGAATTTTCCTAGAGTTGTCTTGACATTAGCCTTTTCCATGGCTGGTTTCACTCCAAGGCGGTGCTAGAAGCACTTGCCACCTGTCCCTGGAATGCAGACGTCTGGGGTGATTTGACTGGCTGCCAGTTATAGGGGGTCTCCCGCGTCTTTCGCTAACTGACTTCACCCTTTCCTTCTCCTATTCTCTGTTTTCCCCATATTCTCTTTAGGACTTCCTAAGGTACAGTGAGAAGGCTGGTCTGGAGTGTGCAGATATTGAGGTAAGTTTCCTGCACAAATGGGTTGGGTGCATAACTGTTAATAAGGACAAAGTAAAGCAAGATTTTTCCCATGCAACCCGATGGCCCCAGTCCAAACTCTAACCTCCCAGCCCAGAGAAATAAGAGGAACTTCGAAATGACAAACTGATCTATAATAAGGATTAATTCACGTTGAACAAACATGGACACCAATGTAGATTTATTGACTATTGACCATTGATAGAGAGTTGATTAACTTTTGACTAATGACTATTGATGTAGAATGTTAGTTTTAGAAGACAAAAATGACCATGTAAAACACCCCAGTGGTAGGTCCTGCCCAGGATTTTCTTTCAGTGGTTACACGTGTTTAATAAGGACACGTGGGCCTCCTTGGCATCAGTTTTCAGAGGTTAGGGTGATACTTATCGTAGGAATGTAGAAGTGTCTTAGGAGCTGTCTCTGTACGGTCTTCTCTAAACCATTTCCTGCCAAACATTGATGAGTGGGGCTGTCATGTGGAAGAAAGATTAGACTTGTTCTGCTCTGTCCCAGAGGGCAGAGTTAGGATCAATGGATAGACGTTGTAGAGAGGATAGATTGCAGTTCTGAACAAAGAAAAACTGGCTAATGGTTAAAACTGTCCGAGAGTAGAATGGATTGCCTCAAGTGGTTGTGAATTCCCCATTGCTGAAGGCCTTTAACAAAGGCTACAGACAGAAATTTTGTTGAGGGAATTGTAAAGACTCTTATGGACCCTTCCAACCCTTCTTTTCAGAGATCCTGAGTCTGTTATCCAGGAGGTGGACAAGGCAAGGGTCCTCCTGACATGTGGCTTCAATTCCACCCTCTATTCCTCTGTAGCTTTTCCCTTTCCTGTGGTACTCGGTTTGCCTATTTCTGGAACTTGAAAAGAAGTGCAAACACTTGAACAACGTGATATCAGGTGGATCCGGTTTAGCTAAAGGTTTCTAACTTTTTTTTTAGCCCCAAGGATCACCAGCCAGGATGAGTAATGACTCTGGGAAGAAGGAAGAAATGGAGAGCTAGAGTAAAGGAATGGGAGAGTCAGAGGAAATGGGACCCCTCAAATGGCCCCCAGCAATTACTTCAAGTGCTGTGGGATGACTTAAATCAAAGGATTCCATACCTCTTTTAAGTTTTTTGTTTGTTTTTTTTAAATTTTTCTCTGAATTTAAAATCAAACAAGCATTTCCATAATATAATAGAATAGGAAAAAAATTCTGAAGTTTACCAGTAGAGCAATACCCCCTCACCTCCCAGGTGAGGGATGCAGCATTACCAGAAGATTGGACCCTTGTCTTCCAACAGAAGCAACATTTCCCATGAGCCTCCTGGGCTGACATTGCTCTCCTGCCTGTCTCTTCCAGAAAGCAGTGGAGTTAATGTGCCTTGTTCCAAAACGCTGCAATGACATGATGAACCTGGGACGCCTGCAGGGTTTTGAGGTGAGTGGCTGAGAATGTTTCTAAGTCTTCTTTCTTTTGTGAGGGGGATAGAGTGGGGAAGGGAGCAAAGACCTCCCAGGTTGAAGCCTTTTCCTTCTGAACATTTCCCTCTATGCCTCCTTTCTATGAAGTAGCTTCAGCTAAGACTTCAAGAGGTACTTCTCTGTTCCTCTCTTATCCTTCCCACTGTTCCTTGGTTTCAAGGAGCTTGAAGTTTTATTCACTTAGCATCCAAAAAAAGCCTTTCATTTCCCTCTTCCTGAATTCTAGGACAGTTTTCCAAACTGTGGCCTGAGTCTCTAAGGGGCTCACAAAGACAAGAAATGTCACATTTTTAAAAGCTACTTCAAACAAACAATAAGAGTATAGGAAGATATAGTATTGAAGCAGCTTCTTCTGTACTCCCTGCTTTTTCTGTCCTAGATTGACAAATGCGGGAATGTGGGGAGAGCAGAGTTATAGGTTGCCCAACCAATTTTAGTTGATGATGAAAGTAATGCCTAAAAGAATAACCATATATAGGCCTTTTTCACCCTTTTAAGGGATCTTTTAAGGGCACAAGGTCCATTGTTATGGGTACTTCTAACACTGATGCATATCCCAGCCCCTCTGCAACTTAGTGAATGGCCTTCACCAGGTGAGTAACTACTTTGGCCACAGTAACTGGTGGGAAACATTGGGGCAATGATCACCTGTGAACTTAGCTAGACTGGTCCTCAAGTGACCAACATAGAGCCTGACAGTGGACATATATTCCAAGTTTTTTCAGTTAGGCTGGTCTTGCCAAAGGTTGGGCTCTGCCTTGGAGCATCCAGTGTCATACCACAATAAGGCATTAGAGATGTGGTCAAAGTTCAAGTAATAAACTTAACTGCATAATGAGTAAGCCAATCTTACTCAAGTAGTCCAACCACATATATATAATCTGAGAATGCAGAAATGTTGATTTCTGTGCTACAGGAAGCGTATGTTTACTTGTGTGTTGATGGTACATCAGGGTACTTAGCTATAAACCTCCAAGGTTTGTGATGTAGTAACTATGGAGAACTTTAAAAATTTAAGTCAGTAAGTTTTTTCTACTTAAAAACTAGCATCATTAATAGTCAACTAAACCTTCATGAGTCAAATAGTGAATAAGCATTTATTAAGGACCTACTCTATGTTACACTGGGGCAGCTAGGTGGCACAATGGATAGAGTTCCAGGCCTGGAGTCAGGAAGATTCATCTTTCTAAGTTCAAATCTAGCCTCAGATACTTACTATGTGACCCTGGGCAAGTCACTTAACCCTGTTTGCTTCGGTTTACTCATCTGTAAAAAGAGCAGGAGAAGGAAATAGCAAACCACTCCAATATCTCTGCCAAGAAAAAAAAACAAGTGGGGTCACAAAGAGTCTGAATACACTGTGTGCTAAGTGCTCACAATACAAAAAGAGGAAAAAGACAGTCCTTGCCCTCAGGGAGCTCACTACCAGAGGAAACAACAAGCCGACAAATATGCTTTTTAGGGGAAACAAACAAGTTCTGTACAAGATAAATAAGAAATCACTAATAGAGGGAAGACATGCAGTAAGAGGCCATTGAATGTAACATTATTTTTTATATTAATTCAAAGAGGCATGAGGATTGGCACCGTTTCTTTCTTGCTTAGAGGTTAGCTTGCCACCTAGGTGGGTTGGGGTGGGGGAAGGTATGGATTCTCTAACTCTTTCCCAGGAGCTCTGCTTCCTACTCTTCCCTAACCTGTTACTACTGGAGAAGCTACTTTGGGAAAACCATTCCTCGAAGCTGAGATGGGTGATTGGGAGAAGGGGGTGTTTGTCTTCTACACTAAAGGAGATAGAACTCTTGAAACAAGTAAAGAAAATGAGCAAATACATCTGTCAAGAAGTACTAATGGGAAATGAAATAAAATGAGATATGGAGGTGATTAGGGTTGGAATGAGGTTGGTCAGGGAAGGCTTCTTGGAAAGATAGCAATATCAAGGGGATTAGCCGCACCCTCTGGATCTAGACCCCACGAGCATGTCAACAAGGACATCTCAACCACTGTTCCTGCTTCTGTCTGGAATTATCTGTTCCTCTTGGCAGTAGCTGAATCTCTAAAACTGAAAGTACTTTATAAAAAATCATTATAAACTTACCTACCCTTAAAAAAAAACAACCAAGAAAATAATCATACAAAACAAGGGGCAAAATTTCACTACAACCCTTTAACCTCTCTAATTGGGAAGAACCAAAAGAATGAACAGAAGTAAATGAGACACTTTTGTGCTGTGTCCCCATCTAGGCCTAGCTTAAATTCTGCCAAATTTGGCCACACTCTCTCTCTCTCTGTGGCCGTTACCTCTCAAACTCCCCTGTCCCTCCTCCCACCATCCTATGTCTTCCCTCTAATATTGGATTGACTCTCTTTTGTATATGCGTGTGTTTACAAAAAAGAACAAATGAGTATATACACACACATATATATGCATGTACGCATATACACACATTACATATACATATATACACACATTACATATGTACCTATATATATGCATTACACACACACACACACACACACACACACACACACACACACACACACACACACACCCCATTCTTTTGGGTTTGAAGTGGTACTTTGTATCATGATCTGTCAATTGTTAAAGTATTGAGATACAATAGTGTATAAAGAGCTGGGCCCAAAGTCAGGAAGATCAGAGTTCATATCCAACCTCAGAGTTTTACTAGCACTGTAACCCTGGGTAAGTCACTTAGCCTCTGTATGCTTCAGTTTCCTCATCTGTAAAATGGAGATAATATTAGTACCTTACCTCTCAGGTTGGTGGGGAAGATAAAATGAGATATTTGTAAGCCCTTTGCAGACTTTAAAGTACCATATAAATGCTAGCTATCTTTGTATTATTATCTTTTCACGTGCCTAGAAGATCCTAGATTCAGAGCTAAAAGAGGTCTTAAAGGTCATTAAGTCCAACCCCCTTCATTTTACAGGTGAAGAAACTGAGTCCCACAAGGGATGAATGATTTGCCTAGGGTCACCAGGTAGTAGAATCATCTGAAAAGAGGTTCAAATCTGGTTTCCCTGACTCCCAAGTTCAGTGCTCTACACCAAACTAGTTAACAGTTTGCATTTTTTCTACTTTATAAATCACCTGTGCACGTCCTCCGACTCTCATTCTATCGGTAATATGATGAGGCTTGTAGGTAAGCCCTGAGAGGCAACTTGACATCATGGATAGATGGCGAGCCTTAGAATCAAACAGACCAAAGTTCAAGTCCCACAAGTGTCTGACACATACTAGCCCTGTGCAACGAATACGTTATTTAATCATTCAGTGACCAGAGCAACCTTCTAAGACTAAGTTACAGATATGCATTTGTTCATTAGTGATGGAAGGTGGGAGTTTCCGTACCTAGAAATCTCCCATACCGATGAAATTATAGGCCTGAACACCACCCCCCCTAAAAATTATATTCATTCTTACAGATTTGGAATATCAGTTCTTTATCTCACATACATGCTTCAAGTATTTCCCCCAATGTTTCTTTTCTTTTAATTTTCCAAGGAAGTCCTTGCTTTATGAGATAATTCCTTTGAGTGTGAATGGAGCTCCATTTCCTTTTACTTACTCACCCTACCACCAAGGGCCCTGGGGCGTAAAGCTGTTGATAAGCCACAAAGCACTATGGAAATAGAAGCTTATTTATTTGGAGCTAGGTTCCTATTCTCCTCCATAGTGAAACTAAAGCCCAGACAAAAGCAATGCCATGAAACAGAAATGCCCTTAGATTGCTAGGGCTCAGGTTGAGTTTTCATTGGTCATTGTCCAGAATGAATAAGGCCAAACTCTTCCCTCTTGCCTCTCCCCTCCTTCCCTTCCACACTACTTCCCCTCCTCAGCAGCCCAGAAGCTTTTCTAAATTTCAGATATTTTGAACAATCTTGAGAAGAAACAACCACCACTCCCCTTTGACCATAGTCTCAGTCATTCCGGCCCAAATTATTGTGGATCTTTGAAGAAAGTAGGAAGAGATGGGGCAGGATGAGTGGCCACTTAGTCTGCACCATCTAACTCATGTTAGGTGTCACAGGAATTAGTGTGTAGGCACCTATGTTTGTGTATCTACACCCCTACATGATGCAAGGCTACACCTAAGACTCTTCAAATTTATTTTTGAAAGCAGGTGTCATAGCAGGCACCATGGTGCCGTGGCAGGCATGCTAGATTCGGAGACAGGAGACCTCGATTTAAACCCTGGCTCTGATCCTGAATACTTCGCCACAGGATCTTGGCCAGTCCCTTAACCCACCAGGGTGTGTTTCCTCGTCTGTAAAATAAGGGATTGAGGAGGGGAAGAAGGGGGCAAGAGAGAGGAGTTTCACCTTGTTCATTCTGGATAATGACCAATGAAAACTCAACCTTTTACAGTCCCTTCCAGGTCTCCATCTAAAATCCTGTTCTTGTTTTCCTCATGCCCTGGAGAAACTACTTTGCATTGCCTCAGTTGATAGGGTCACAGATCTAGACCTTGAAGGGCACTTAGAGTTCATAAAGTTCAATCCCTCCTTTTCCAGATGAGGAAACTAAGTCCCAGAGATTTTAAGTGACTTGTCTAAGGTCACTGAGCTGGTAAGAACTGATACAGGATCTGAGCCCAAGTCTTCTTGACTCCAAGTACCGGGATGCCCTTGGAGGAGCTAGTAGACGTTTCTGCCTTTGTTCCAAAGTCCCTGGGTTCAGGGCCTGGGAGAAGTTAGGCTTCATAATCCCCCTGCCTCTGGAGCTTATGGTTTCCTTAGAGCTTTTGTTGATGTAACCTTTGGGTCAGGATCTTACGTAATAATAATATGACTTATAAAACATTTCTGTCTAGCTGGCCACGGGCTTAATATTAACTCGCTACTAGACTGGAGATAAGTGCTGACCTTGGCAGCAAGATGCTTGGGTTGGAGCATAGTACAAGGGTTTCTCAGGAACCCAAGGAAGAATGACTTGGGCAGTGAGTTTGGGTTTGGGTAATAAGGAGGGGGTCACATGGTACCACTGGCATACATCTGACCCACAGGGCAAAAAGGTTCATGTTCCAATTACATGAAATCTTTTTTAGGGAACGTTCTTCGGCTGGAAGGGTTTTTTCCCTTCTTTTTAAAAAGGAACCTCCCCACGAATTACAAGGTTCCTTCTAGACCTGGAACAGGCTTGGTCTCATAAGCAGAACCCTGCGCTGATTGAAGAGAGTGGGAAGTTTATAAATAGAAATACAAAAAGTAAATCAGCCAGCATTTTATACTATGCTCCCGGCACTGTGCAAAGCACTAGTGATACAAAGACGGATACCAAACAGTGCCTTCTGTCGACGAGCTCATAGTCTCACAGGGAATACAGCATGTAAATAACATAATTAGAGATAATTTCAGAGCCTCGGTTTCCCTGTCTACAAAGTGGGTTTGATGATAGTTTGATGATAATGACTTGCCTCGTTTGGGAGTGAATCACACTGCAGACATAAAAATGCTGTAGATAGGTGTACTTGTTATCTTCCCAGTCAGTAACCTCCCTGCCCCCCAACCTCATGGACACTTTGTACCTCTCTGATGCATTCTTTATCCCTGGGTATTTTTGTACAAGTGAGACCATCTACCACACTATAAACTCCATGAGGGCAGGACCCATATTGTAAGTACTGGGAAAGAGCCAAGATATAACTAACATGGTACTCATAATAGGTACTTAATATCTGTGGAATTATTGGATCGAAAATGTCCGAACAGGAAGTAGTGGATGCTCTTAACAGACCCCCCCAGATTTCTGCTGTGGCCAGTTCCTCTGTGTCCACGGTCAGTAGCGGTGGTGGGGCCAGAGGCTCCTTCCCACGCCCTCTCACTTCCTCCTTCTCTCTCTCTCTCCACCCCACAGGGCACCCTGACAGCCCAGGGAAAGCTGCTTCAGCAGGATACCTTCTACGTGATTGAGCAGGACGCAGGCATGCAGTCCCGGACCAAGGAAAGGCGTGTGTTCCTCTTTGAACAGATCGTCATCTTCAGTGAGCTTCTGCGAAAGGGCTCTCTCACACCAGGCTACATGTTCAAAAGAAGCATCAAGGTGAGGAGGAACCCTAGGGGACCGGGCAAAAGGCCAGGGGACTGAGAGTCATGTTTCTTACGTGGGTTCACCCCCCTCCCCCCAGATAGAAGATTTTTATGGGGAGATAGTACAGGCCAGCTAGATGGCACAGTGGACAGACAGCTAGACCCAGAGTGAGGAAAACCTGAGTTCAAATCTAGCCTCAGACCGTGGGCAAGTCATTTAACCTGTTTGCCTTCATCCACTAGAGAAGAAAATGGCAAACTCCAGTATCTTTGCCAAGAAAACCCCAAATGGGTCACAAAGAATCGAACATGACTGAAACAATTCACCACCAACAACACACCTCTCTCAATGCAGGTTAAGATCATATTACCATTTTTGTCTACCAAGTCTCACCGCTTGAGCTTGCAAGGCCACTAGAACCTCCAGTCTTTTGCAGGGAAAAGCTGTCTCACCATGGCTTTACCATCTTGTACTTAAAGGTGACTTTTGTTACACCCAAGTGTAAGATTTTACATTGATCCCTATGGAACCTCACCTTAAGAGACTGAGCCTAGTGTTCTAGCCTCAGAGATGTCAGACATGCAGCCCACAACTCTCAAGTGCAGCACAAACCAGATTAAAATGTGATTGGGGGAAAAAATTTAATTTTTTAAAATGTAATTGGGAACTCTTTAACAAAATAAATAAAAAATATAGTAGAATGTATTTAACATTAATATGTGGTTTTTCTATATCAATGTGCAGCCTGCATGGATTATGGATGATTTAGTGGCCTCTGTTCCTGTTTGAGTTTGACACCATCACTGTAGCCTGCCCAGATCTTCGGGTACCCTCACTCTGTCCGCCCAGTTCAGAGTTAGTGATAAATCTGATGAATGTGTCATCTACGCTCTCATCCATGTCATTGATAAAAGTTTCAGCTTAGTGCCAAGCATGGAAGACATCTTCCAGGTTGACATTGAACTGTTAACAATGACACTTTGAGTCTGACCATCCACCCGGTTCTGAATCTATCCAGTTGTTGTATCCAGTCCATCTGTCTTCTTCACAAGAATAGCATGAGATACTTTATCAATCATCTGTCTTATGACTTTCCCAGAAATTTAAGTCAAGCTCACTGGTCTAGAGTTTTCAGACTATCCAGTCTGTCCAACCATCTCATTTTTCAGCTGGCAAATTGAAGCCTAGAGAGGGCAAGCGACTTGCACAAAGTCACATTGCTAGTAAATAGCAGGGCTAATACTTGAGTTCTAGATGGCACAGTGGATAGAACACTGGCTCTGGAGTCAGAACAGCCCGAGTTCAAATCGAGCCTAAGACATTTACTAGCTATGAGATCCTGGGCAAGTCACCTAACCTCTGTCTGCCTCAGTTTCTTCAACTGTGAAAAGGGGATGATAATAATAACACCTACAACCCAGTGTTGTTAAGATCAAATGGGATAATATTTGTAAAGTGCCTGGCACATAGTAGGCGCTTAATAAATGCTTGTTCTCTCCCCCTTTCCCCACGCCCATCCAAGTCCAATGGTCTTTTCCATTATACACCACTGCTTTCCCCCACCCACTGTTCTTCTCAGTCCGTGAGATCTGTTGTAATGAGCTGAAGACTATATTTATTTGTTGCCTGAAGGAGTGAATGTACATTTTTTTCTGAACAAGGCTTGGAACTATTGTGTGTGATTACAGAGGAAGGGATTAATAATGTCTAAAAACCCTTTCTCCCATAATTCTGACTTTTTCTAGATTCTGGAACTTGTCCTAGTATGTGTTTCTGTGTGTATGCATTTTTCTCTTCCCCAGCCTTCCAAATTTGTCTGAATGACAGTAATGTATTCTGTTTAGAAGGTATCCAGGCATAAAGCACCTAGCATAGCCAGGCTCTGGATGTGTTCATGTCTCATGCAGAATAAGTGCCAGGTGCTATGTTTTATAGGCTAGAAGTTGCATTGAATTTTTAAATTAAAATTTAATTTAATTTAAATTTAAATATAAATGCTCTCACCTGCTCTTCCCCCATTGGAAAAAAACAACAATAGGAGAAACATAACCTATCACAGCACACACACACACACACACACACACACACACACACACACCACTCTATACATATAGTAAATCAAAACAAATTCCCATGTTAACAATATCCAAAAAAAAAAAAACCCAAAAAACTATTCTTGAATTTGCATTCTGAATAACTTGGCTTCTCTATCTGGAAGTTGGGTAGCATGGTTCATCATGAGTCCTCTGGAACTATAGTTTATCATTGTATTGAATAGAGTTCCTGAGTCTTTCAAAGTTTTTTGTCTTTACAACATTGTTGTTATTACATAACTTATTCTCCTGGTTCTGCTTACTTCACTTTGCATCAGTTCATACAAGTCTTCCCTGGTTTCTCTGAAACCTTCATCCCCTCTATGATTTCTTATAGCGCAATGGTATTCCATCACATTCTTATACCACAACTTTGTTTAGCCATTTCCCAATTGGTGGGCATACCCTAACTTTCTAATTCTTTGTGACCATAAAAAGGTGCCACAAATATTTTTTTGTGCTGAAAGTTTTTTTATCTTTTGTTGATCTCTTTGAGATATAGGCCTAGTAGCAGTATCACTGGGTCAAAGGAGATGCACAGTTTAATAGCTTTGGGGGTACAGTTCCAAATAGTTGCATCAAATTTTCATTTCAAAGTTTTAGGGCATGGAGAGGGGATGAAGTCAGGAGAGATAGACTAGTATTGTTTATGAGACAGAGTGACTTTGGGTGAGTACTAGCCCCTGGAGTACCTTAGGATCACATCAGAACTTGGATTATTTTAAGTAAAAAAAATTATAGCGTTACATAATAAAGATCCATATTTGTGACTTTCCCTACCCATCTGCGTCTACTCCCAAAACCAAAAAGTGTGACTTCTAGTCTGATAAATACAATGAGTGCCACCTGGAAAACATTTTTTAAAATTTTATTCAATGTAAAAAGATGACCTTGTTCTGTTCCAGATGAACTACCTTGTCCTGGAGGAGAATGTGGACAATGACCCCTGTAAGTTTGCCCTTATGAGCCGGGAAACATCAGAAAGGGTCATTCTACAGGCAGCCAATGCAGACATCCAACAAGCCTGGGTTCAGGACATTAACCAAGTCTTGGATACACAGCGAGATTTCTTAAATGGTATGTATGCCCCGTCCTCATTAGCAGGCCTATTTTCAGAGGGAACCCAGAGATGCTAGCCTCCTCCAGACTGGGCTGCCTGTAGAATATGGCACATTCTGGGGTCTAATGTGCTTTTTTTAGTATTTATATCACAATCATTTCTCATTCATCATCACAGCTTGTGATCAAAAAAACAAACCAAAAAAACCCCACAAATAAGCAAAATGTCTGATATAGAGACTATATCAGGCAATGTCTATACTACACATTCCAACAGTGTCCCTCACACCTCTTCCATGAAGGAGGAAGTATGCTTCATTATCTGTATTCTGGATTACAGGTTTAATGTTGGTCCTGGCCTTTGTATCCTCAAGGAGTTTAGGCCTTTAGGGTTTATCTACACTTTTAACAGCTGGGATGGTGGAATGGTTGAGCAGCAAAGGATAGTCATTTTTGTAGAAAGATTTCTCTGATACCTGAATGGTCAGTGTGCTGATCTCTCACCACCTGCCCATTTGCTCCCTTCTCCCGAGAGATAAGAATTTAAACAGTGACAAGAAATTGGGGAATCTTCTGGACTGGAGGAGGCCACTTGAAAATGGTGGTAGGAATAATATTTTATAGTTGCTCAGTTGCCCTTTACATGATTTTATTTGATACTCAAAGCAATTCTGCCAGGTAGGTAATGCAACTACCCATTTTGCAAATGAGGCACTAGAGACACTGAGCTTGTCTAATTCCACACAGTGAATAAATGACAGAGACAGGGCTTGAACTCAGATCTTTAGTCTCCAAATCTAGTGTTCCTTTTCCTTCTCCCCACCCCCACACACCCCCCTCAAAGTGTTCTCTACCCAACAAAACGAAGAAAATATGCTGTAATAGAGACCCCTGGACCAAACGCTAGGAATATTATCCGTAGTCATGTCACCACTTAGCTGTGTTCCCTTGCCAAAGTCCCTTTAGCTCTCCTGTGTTCAGCTCCTCATCTATCAAATGATGGGGCTAGACTAGACAATCTCTGGGTCCCCTTCTACCTTTAACTCTATTTTATGGAACTCTCCAGAAAACAAATTCGTCAAAATCCCTGAGTCATTTTACTCCCTCTCTGATGCAGACAAAACATTTTCTGGATACTTGGAAGGGACCATAGCGGTGCTCTAATCCAGTCCCCTCATTCGACAAACAGAAAAAGAACTTGCCGAAGGTCCCACAACTATTTAGTAGTAATGTTGGGACTAGAATTCAGGTTTTCTGATTCCTATTCATGTGGTTTGGGGTTGGGTTTTTTTTTCTTTTTCATATACTGGAAAAGATTGTACGGCCCATAAATTGATTTTCTCCAAGCAGATTTAAAAAGGAGGGAGTCAAGAACTTTTCATCGTATAGAACAGCCTTCCTATTAATGGAGGATCAAGAGATCCCTGGAAATAAACAAAGTCAACACAAAATGCTTCAGATGCTTGACTCTGGGCAGCTCCTACCATTTGTCTGCTCCTCAGCTTACTCACCTATAAAATGATGGAATTGTACTAGAAATGCTATTGTTCCATGAGCAAATGCAGGACCTGCCCTAAGCAAACAGTGACTGCTCATGAGAATGTCTATCACTTTGAATGTAACTAGGTAGAGCAGTGGATAGAGTGCCAGGCCTGGAGTCAGGAAGACCTGAATTCAAATCCAGTCTCAAATACTTACTAGCTAGAGGACCCTGGGTAAGTCACTTAACCTCTGTCTATCTCAGTTTCCTCAACTGTAAAATGAGGTTAATGATAGCTACCTCCCAGGGTTATTATGAGGATCAAATGAGACAAAGTACTTAGCACAATGGCTGGCATACAGTAGGTCTTATTTAAATGCTAACTATCTTATATTATTATTAGATCTTTAAAAGATTCTTTTAGGTATTGTTTTCTGTAAAAGCTTTTTTTAATTTAATTTAATTTTTTTTTGGCAAGGCGATTGGGGTTAAGTGACTTGCCCAGAGTCACACAGCTAGTAAATGTCTGAGACCGGATTTGAACTTGATTCCTCCTGACTCCAGGGCCAGTGCCCTAATCCTCTAAACCACTTAACTGTCCCAGCATGTAATTTTTCAACAGCCAATAGAACCTCCTCAAAGCCCATACTAATTGGGAATCTAACAATGATTCAGATGCAAGTTGTGCTGAAATATACCAAGAAACCATTAGTTTTGAAAGACTGCAGGGGATACTTAACAAACAGAGAAGTTTCGACTTTTTTTAATGTTTTATTGAAGCCTCTTATCTTTACAGCACAGTCCTACCCTACCACCCCCCTCCAGACTGAGCATCTCCCTTGTTCCAAGAAAAACCAACAACTATACTCAACTTGTAGAAACACTTGAACAGCTTCCATTTGCAAATGCACCACCAATCCCCCAAATACAAATGACCCCTATTGATTCATTAGAGCAGGCCTAGCCACTTGTCAGCTTGCTGACAATTAGTTCTTTTTGCTATATGGATTTTAAAGTTTAAAAAATAAAGCTAAAACTTTAAATAAAAAATTCAGACTTTTTAATGATTCTGCCTGGCATTCCCCCAATTATATCGGATTAATGAGGTCTTTTTGAACTATAGTAAACACTTACATAAACATATTTCTTTGTTCCATACACACACTGTCAAGGGATGGCGTTAGGATGGTTTTTTCTTTTTTGGTTGGTTGGTTGGTTTTCCCTGTTGGCAAAGACCAGTCCCATTCTTGGCATACATCCAATGAGATACGTGGTGAAAGCCCAATGTAATGTCCTTTATTTGGATATCAGGAGACAATATAGGACCAACCTGTCCCTCCAGAGATCTTAGATGGTTTAAGAGAATATGGCGAGGTTCACATTCTTACTCCCATAGATGTCATTACTGTAAAGGATTTTTAAAAGTATATTCATCCATTATGCCAAATGGTTTCTGAGCACCGGAGGGCTGGTGACCCACTTACCTCAAGTGACATTCAAGATAATGATATTCCAATAATAGCAAAGCCATGTGGACAGACTTTTGGAGTTTGCTATAATGGAATCTGACTTGTATGACTTTCTTATAGTCATATTTCAGACCTCAGAGCTGGTAACTACTGTCAGGTTGCATGGCATACCATGGTGGCTGATCCTCTTTCTCCTTTGACCCCCTAAGCCAGAAATCATAATAGCAGAGTTTGAATCATGGGTGTACCAGCAATGAGTTAGGACAAGATGGAGGGGACAGCTTCTCCAGCCTCTGGGGACTACCTTCCTGCCCATTTTTCCTGCTTCCTGCCTCTATTTTCCAGTTCACTTCTCCTACATCCTCTAGTGCAAGAGGAAAAAGGAGGCTAGTGACTTGGTCAGTCTTTGCGCCAGTACCCCTTTACAACTTCTTCTACACCCTCTCCACGGTGCTGTCTCTCTCCTTCTGCCTTTCCTGAGGATCTCCGTCATTTGCAACTGGCTGGCTCTGGATCAGGGGAAAATCAGTTAGACTTTTTTTTTGTCCTTTTTACTTCTGGCCACTTTATTTTTCGTGTCTCTGTCCAGAGACTTTGGTTGATAGGTGTAAGAAAGAAAAAAAATTATTTTACATTCTAAAAGGCTGTATCTCTAGCCACCAATCCTTGAACTCCACTGCTGGCCCTTGATGGCAAAGTGTAGGGCTAGAGGAACAGAGTCAAGTTGGAGGAGTGCTTTTTCATCCAAGAAGAAAAGGTTGAAAAGATTGATCGTTAGTGGAGGGGAAGGATTTCACTAAAAGGACACCTGTGCAAAGTTTGAATTTTTGAAGTACAGTTTGTGTATGTGTGTGTGTGTGTGTGTGTGTGTGTGTGTGAATACACACACACACACATATATATACATATGTACATTTTTTAAAAAATAACTTGTATCGTTAGTTTGAATAAAAACAATGACCTTTGTGATAGAGGATTTGATGAACCCTCACCTTAAAAAAGGTAAATTTCCCTGAGTGCAGACCCTAATGAACCGTGCTGCATATGCCCAGGGTGGGGAAGGACTTCAGAAGTCATCTGTTCCTATCTGAGCAGGAATCCCTTCCCAACATGCCTGATAGGCAAAGACCCACAGTGCTTTTATTCTCTCATCTGAGCACCCATCATTTGTTCCTTGGCCCTTACAATTCTCTTCTCTCCTGATTGATAAGCCCCTTGAGGGCAGTCAGGCCCTCTCCATCTTCCTCATCTCCTGAGATCCCTAAAGTATCTGGCACACAATAGTCACTCATATAGTACAGAAGGGAGGGGACACAAGTTGACTCAGTGAAGATTAGGAATTGGTAATTGACTCTTCTCCTACAGCGCTACAGTCACCGATTGAGTATCAGCGGAAGGAACGGAGCACAGCCGTCATGAGGACCCAGCCTCCCAGAGTACCCCAGGCCGGCCCCAGGCCCTACTCTGCTGTCTCTGTGGGGGCTGAAAAGCCCCCAAAGGGCTCCAGCCGTAACCCATCACTGCCACCCCTGAAGATATCTACCTCCAATGGCAGTCCAGGGTTTGACTACCATCAGCCTGGGGACAAGTATGAGTCCAGCAAGGTATGTGGGTTTGTAATAGGACTCCATTGCAGGACTCCCAGGAGGTGTTCTTAACAGGCTCATTTAGGAGTTCAAAACAATTAATTCTCAACTTCCTCATCTGTAAAATGAGGAGGCTGGACTAAGTCAAATCTTTTTTTTTCTTTTTTTTTGGCAGTTGGGGTTAAGTGACTTCCCAGGGTCACACAGCTAGTAAGTGTCAAGTGTTTGGTCTGAGGCCAGATTTGAACTCAGGTCCTCCTGACTTCAGGGCTGGTGCTCTATCCACTGCGCTGCCTAGCTTGCCCCTAGGTCAAATCTTCTTAACCTGGGGTCTGTGAACTTGGTTTTAAAAAATATTGTGATAACTGTATTACAGTATAATTTTATGCATTTAAAATAGTCAAGAGAAGGAGTCTGGGATACAAACAAAGGTATTAGAGAGAACACCATGGTCCCATCTAGCTCTAATATCTTGTAATTTTTATATACAGTAAAGGGGGTGGGGAAACCAAGGACATGGATAATGCAAAAGTTATGATCCTGGAATGCACTGTGGCTTTTAAAAAAATATTGCCATTCCTAATGATGATTGACTCAGGCTGTTATTAAAATGAGTTCACATTCCCTGAGCATATTTTGGTTGATAGCAAGGAGAGGTGGTTAAGGAATGTACTTGGCAGGGTGGGGAAAAAGTAAAAAGCCAGCCTGGAATGAAACACTTGCTATAGGTAATCTATAAACTCCTAGCATCCCTGTGTGGATAGTTCAGAGTTTGCTCCAGGCCCCGACCCAGAAACACAGATGTTTGAACACTCTAGATATTACTAGCCAAGGCTATTGTGGTGACCCAGTAAGAATACTAGGCTGGGCCTCCCAAGACCTGGATTCTATTTCCTGACTGTTATTCTGTGATCTTTTGAATGGAAACTCCTAAAGGATTTCTTTTCCTACAGATTTGGAATCTCTTGTGTGTAGAAATCAGTTTTAAAATACCATTTTGGGTCAATTTTTGTCTTAACCAATTGTGATTGACAAGTTCTGATCAGTGCCCTCTGCCTATCCTAAGGAAAGGCACCAGTGTTTTCTTCCATATTTCTTGGGAATGAATAAACATCCTTACCTCACCCCCCTTTTGACTAATGTAAGCTAGGTTAATTCACATGAACAGTTTGTCATGATATGCTAAAGAATTAACAAAGAGGCACCCACCGTGAGTTAGTGGGTAATATTGACCCAGCTGCTTAACAGATTACAAATGTCAGATGGAAAGAATGTGTGCCTTGGCGTCAGGAGAACTTGGTTGAAATCCAAGCTCAGATAGCTACTAGCTTTGTGACCATGAGCAAATCTCTCTCTCTCTCTCTCTCTCTCTCTCTCTCTTCTCTTCTCTCTCTTCTCTCTCTCTCTCTCTCTCTCTCCTCTCTCTCTCTCTTCTCCTCTCTTCTCTTCTCTCCCTCCTCCCTCCCTCTCCCTCTCCCCTCTCCTCTCTCTCCCTCCCTCCCTCTCTCTCTCTCTCTCTCTCTCTCTCTCTCCTCTCTCTCTCTCTCTCTCTCTCTCTCTCTCCTCATCTGTCAAATGGAAATGACGAAACTAGGTAGCAAGGTGGATAGAGTGCAGAGCCTGGAGTCAGGAATACTAATCTTCCTGAGTTCAAATCTGGCCTCAGACACTAATTAGCTGTATTAACTGGGTGACCCTAGGGAAAGTCACTCAATTATTGTTAAGGATTATAATACTGAGGTATTATTTGCATAGATGTGAGAAGTGAGTACATTAATAGGGTGGAGACTAATTTCAAAGCTTTGCGGGGAGAGGGGATGAGCCTTGAGCAAGTCACAGCCCTCTTTTGAGTCCCTGTTTCCTCCTCTTTCAAATGAGATTGGATTAGGTTGGGTCTAGTTCCTTCTCCTACTGGTAGGAAAGCATGGAAGTCGGTCTGTAGGCCCCTAAGGAAAAGGACAAGAGGATATAACACCTGTAGTGCTTTAAACTTTAGCTACTTGTTTGACAAACCAATCTATACCCCAACTCCTTACTCCCATCTTTGTATGTGAGGGGCATAGCTAGGAATCTTTGTGTTCTGAAAATTGTGCCATTGGGTCATAATCTGTTTGCACCCACATATCTCATACCCCCAAACCAAACATCACTTCTCCCCTGCAAGGACATTGGGCAGGTGTGGTTTTAAGAGCAAAGGCTATTTTCTGTATCCACAGCAGCTGGTCCCGCTCACCCACCTCTAGCGATGCTATTGTCTAATGGAGGTGATGCTGTTAAGTTTCATCATCTGTAAAAGCAGGTAGAATAATTCCTGAGGTTCAAATGATGTCATGGATACCCAGCATTTCAACAGCTTGGAAACAGCATACAACTTTTTTAAAAAATTGCATTGCTATATTTTCTAAAGCTCTTTTCACTATCATAGAATGAGTCAGACAGGTGCTCAGAGGTCAACTACTATAAGCCATACCCAATAGGAATCTCCTCTTTAACATTCTCAGCAATGAGTTCTTTAACCTCTGGTTGCAGATTTCTAGCCATGGGGAAACAAACTACCATCACCTGAATATGCCCATTCAACTTGGGAATGCTCATTAAGCAAGTGTTTTCTTACAGTGAGCCAAAATCTGCTGTTCTGCCCTCTGGGAGCCAATCTGATCAGTCTAAATTTTCTTCCATATGATAAAAAGCCCTTCAAATATTTTAAATCTGCTCTCCTAAGCCCTTAAGTCTTTTCTTCTTCAGGTTAAACGTTCCCAGTTCCTTCAATAAATCCTTGCACACCATGGAATGCTTTCAATGTGCTTTCTAAAATATGGCACCTGGAATGGAACACTGTGTTCCAGCTAGGGTCTGACTTGAGTAGAAGAGCAGGGGACTGCAAGCTTCCTTGTTCTGGACGCGATGCTCCTTGAAAGGTCATCTTGGTTTTTGATGTTGTGGAATTCTGCACTTTGTTTCATGATGCCTATAAAATGGAAGTTAGAAATCACTTGGGTCAAAGAATTAGCAGGGGATGTTCTGTGGATCAGAACTTCTCTCCAAGCAGAGTGCTTATACATTAATAAATTGTGTCACTGACAGATTCTAGCTAAAACACAGATTGTTTCTGTTCCAGAGGAGCAGCCAAAAATAATAATAACCAACATTTATATAGTACTTTAACGTTTGCAAAGCATTTCATATGTACACACACACATATGTATATTTCATATATGTGTATATATGTGTATATAAATCTGATCCTCACAGTGATTCTAAGGTGGGTGCTAGTATTACATTTTATAGATGAGGAAACTGAGTGAGGTTGACTGACTTGCCCAAGGTGACAAAGCTAGTAAGTGTCTGAGGCTGGATTTGAACTCGGATCTTCCTGAGTTCAAGTCCAACACTATCCATCTGACTTAATTGTGGAGTAGGAAGCAAAACAATGCTCTCCTCAAGTTTTCTCTGACGTCTCCCTTCTCTCTTCCCCTCCTCCCCCACCAGAATGACATGGGAGGCTGCAACGGGACCTCATCCATGGCAGTGATCAAAGATTACTACGCACTGAAAGAGAACGAAATCTGCGTGAGCCAGGGCGAGGTGGTCCAGGTCCTCGCCGTCAACCAGCAGAACATGTGCCTGGTCTACCAGCCCGCTAGCGATCATTCCCCTGCAGCCGAGGGCTGGGTCCCGGGCACCATCCTGGCGCCCCTCACCAAAGCCACAGCTGCAGCAGAAAATAGCGACGCAAGCATCAAGTAAGTGCCACGTTGGCTTTCCCGGGAGAGCAGTATATGGATTAGGAAAAAAAAAAATCCAACACACAGTAGGGAATTACCGCTCCTCTTGCTCGACAGTGCACTGGAACCAATGTCCGAATGCTGGAACCACACACCACGGGGGGCCTCCATGCCGGATAGTTTTGGTTTTTGGTTTTTTCTTTTTGTTCATGGCTTTCTGTTCATTTTTTTCTCCTTCTCCAACCCCTTTCCCCCTCATTTGCTTTAAAAAAAAAAAAGAAAAAGAAAAGAACCTTAATGAAACCCTGAGTGATTAAAGGCATGCTTTCTGTTGCTCTGTTTGAGCCTCCCATCACAGGACTCACTGGACTGGACTTCTATTTATGTTGTATTAAGTTACTGAGATATATATATATATATATTTTTGATTATGACACACACATAAAAAACACCCCACCTTAGCACAAACCCCATGCCTGCTGTAGGCCAAAGGCCTGCTGCTGTCCCCAGGGGAAGAAGGGGGCAGGGGATGGAGGGGACTTTTTTTTGGGGGGGGGTTAATTGATGGGAATTTCTTTGTACAGTTTGTAACTTTTTCAACCCATTCCTGCCCCCACCCTCATTTCCCTGTTACTTTAATATATGTTCCTGGTAATTTGTAAGATATTTCTTTTTTTTTTTTAATTGTGAGATCCTTCAGAGTACATTCCTGTATAAAGTATTTTGCACTATTTAAAAGAAACCCATATGGATGAAGCCAGGGTGTGCAATATATTGGATAGTCGCAATGTTCATCATTGTACCTGTAATGTAACTAATAATTTTAAATGTACTATTTTAAATATGTAAAATAAATTTTCACCATGAGCATGTTTTAATGAGGTTAAAGAATTAGTTGACCCTTCATTCTCCCTACCCTGAGCCCCCAAACCTGAATAACATTTACTCTTATAATGAAATGAGTGGGTTGAATCTATCTCCCCCTACCCCTTCTCTCCAAATTTTAAAAGTTGGTCCAAAGCCTTGGTTGTCCCTTATTCCCTTGAAATCAATTAACCAACAATTTGTTAAGTGTCATGCCATGCCAGGTCCTGGGGATAAAAAGGCAATGGATTAAAGAAAAGGTGTTCATAGTTGAAGAGCAGGCTAGCTTCCTGGTCCTTCCCTACCTCTTGGTTTCCACCATCACAGAAGATGAAGAATGATGCCTGCTGGGCTCTCTCCAGCCTATTTCTGGCAAATGCATGATATCAAGGTGGATGACATAAAGGAACTGCTCAAGTAGACCTCGTCACCTGGCTTTTGCCCTCCCACTTCTGGCTGCTTTAAGCAGCTGCCTGCAGCAGTGGGGTGAGGGACTTTTCCATTGCTTCCACTGGTTAGCAGAGCCTAAAGAACCAGGTGCCTCTGGCTTCATTGTGGCTTCTGCTCTCACCCTTCCTCCAGGTTGGGGAGGGAAGGGGAGTCCCAGCATCATTCCTGATCCTTCCGAATGACTACAGTTCTTCCAGACTTAGTCTGATACCAAAGTGGCATGGGCTGCCCAGACCTGAAGGATCCAGTTGATGTGGTCAGTTCAGACCCTAGCTCATTTTTGTTTGTTTTCCCTCAATTCTCTCTAGAAAATCTCAAGGCTTGGGAATGAAACTTCTCTAAGCTCCAAAGTGCCTGCTCAGTAGAATGATCCCTTTTGAGAGCCAGCTCTCAGACTTAGGAGCTGCTCATCTGGGACAGGCAGCATCTCTTCCACCTCCTACTCCTCACCTCCGGGTCATTTCACCTCTCATCTGCACCCCACTTCCTACCTGTTGGTTTCCACCATCATAGAAGATGAAGAATGATGATGCCTGCTGGGCTCTGTCCAGCCCATTTCTGGCAAATGCATGATCTCAAGGTGGAAGGGAGGCACAGGCTGGGAGAACAAGAGGCGACTGAATCTGTCAGCCTGGGTCTTTGTCAGCAGCCCTCAAGATAGGAAGGGAACGGAAACTAATGGCTTAAAATCTAGTCTTTTTGACTAGAGACAGGAAACACTTCCCAGGCTTCCCTAGGGTGTGCCTTGAGCACAAAACATGCAGAGTTGGTTTTAACATCTACAATGCTGGTCACCCAGTCAGTGACCATCCCAGGATTTCTCTCTGCTCATGTCCAACAGATGGACATTCATAAGCCATAATGTCTAACTGTCTGGGATGGTAAAACTCAAATTCTGGCCTCCTGTGGCCTCACCAGTTAATAGGTGTCTTCCTCCCTGTGCTTGGTTCTTAATAGATCGAATGCTGTGCCAAGCCAAACTAGAAAACATAGATGGTCTTAACATGCGTAGAAAACATTCTCTCTTCCCGCACCCTTCCCTTCCCACTTCAGAAGTAAACACATGAAATATACATGTACCCACTTACACAGGGAGGTTTCCCCAAGAGCTTTCTCCACTAGGACCACCAAGGCTAAGACCTGCTGAGAAGAAGCCAGGGCTTCAAGGTAAACTGGGCTAAGTTCAGTGGAGTGAAAAGATCTCAGCCATATCCATGGTAGAGTGAGATCTAGCTAGTGACATATACCTTCCCTGAATTCATTTTTCTATGAGTACGTGGAGGGAAGTAGGCATAGAGCTGACCTCTTCCATTCCATTGCTAGGTTGCTAATGATTCTAAAGAAGATAGCTAGAATGTACAAATGAGGCAGCCCTCCTTTTCAAAGGCAAATGAGATCTGATCTACTTTATGGGGCATTTCAAAACATTTATAAACATTTCTTTTAAAATGTCTTTAATAAAAAAAAATTCTTTAATAATAACAGCTCAGCAGTTCACTGAGCACATTTCCCAATACAGAGAGACCCCTGAAACAACTTCCCTAGATCCTTTCTTCTAGACATTCCCCACTGAGAGCTAATAAAAATCTGCCTATTATTTGCCTACTATTACTACATTGTGCTGGGCACAGAGGATATAAATATAAAAATGAAACAGTCCATGCCTGCCCTCAAGGAGCTTGTGTTCCAATAAAGGGACATCATACACATGGGAGAATGGTGGCCATAGGGGGCCACCATTTTCTAGGCAATCATAGGGGCTGTGAGTGAAGCCATAGGATATTAGATAATAATGCCTTCCCTCGTTGCAATGATAATATTAATATGATTACTGCTCCAAGAGCAAACACTGGAAGGGGACAGAGCTACAAACACTGTGGCTAGTGAAATGGCAGAACACCTATGCAAGTGAACACCCTGGTGGTGTGGTGGATGGCTGGACCTTAGTCATGCCCTCTCCTGGATCATCCTGTTCTTCCTCCTCCCTCTCCCCTACTTGACACCACGCCTCTGCTCTGGTTCATCTCTCTTGCCTTTCTTATGTATATCACAATTTGCTGGTGAACGGTTTGATTGGGTTAGGGGGATTTTTGTTGTTTTTGAGAAATCGCCCCTGCCAAGTCTAAGCAGCATTTTGTCCAGACTTTGACTTCAGCCAAGATGCTGCCACCACATGCAAATAGAGAAGAGACCCTGCCCCAAGCAGGACTGGAAGTGGTAATCAGCCTGCCCAAAATGGTGAACCATATTTGGGATTTGGCTTTGGGATTCTCTTCCTCTGACTGTATCATGATGCAAGTGAGGTTTAAGTACTCTGATCAACTTCATTAGATCAGATAACAGGTTTCTGCTAACCCAAAATCTCATCTTCATCACTGGGATAAAGGGAGACAAAATGGGGATGAAATGATGGAACAGCTACTGCCCACCCACTCCATACTTATGATTACCTGGTAGCAGAAATTACATCTTTTCTCAGTAGGAAAATACCAGCTCTCTAAGAAATCTGAATAAAATGGGCTTTGTCAAAAAGAATGGAGACCAGAAACAGCCTTTGATTAGAATGCCCAGAAAAATAGAGTACTGGGATTTCCTGCTCTAATTATCCAAATCATTGCCTGCACGATCCATATCATTTGGATGAAACATAAGCTTAATTAAACATGAGTAGAATTTCTAATAGAATAAGGTCCTCCCCAAGTCCAAATCAATCATTTGGGTTTTAACAATCTCAATCAATAGAATATGCATTTATTAAGTGCTTACTATGTGCCTGACACTGTCCTAAGCGCTGGGGATATAGAGGAAGATATAGGATCTGCCCTCCAGGAGCTTACACTCTAATAGTAAAGATATTATATCTTATGTAGACCTATATAGGTCCACACAAGATAAATGCGGAGGACAGATAGTTAGTGTTATTCCTTCCTGTACTTTCTTCTCACCTTTCTTCACATCCAAACATATGCCTCCTTCGGATTGTCAGCTGATTGGTGATTGAGCTCCTTTGGAGGAACTGAAGCAGCCTCTGTTAACAAACCTTCCCTTGCAGGCCCACTGACCAGCGGTTACTTTCTTTCTCCATAGTGTTAGAAGGTAGTTGTCTTTTGAATTTAGGATGGGGAGGTAATAAAATTCACTTCAAAGTGGGACTGAGGCCAGTCTTGCCAACCAAGGGGAGAGTTGGCATGGCGGGTCATCTGGTACTGAAGCCTGGGAGTTGGCCAGAGCTGTTCATCTCCTCTGAGGGTGGTGACCCCTCACGCTTCCTCACTTCTACTCTGACCTGCCATTTTGATTGGTACATTTTTTGGTACAACAGGAAGTCATGTTCATGGCATACCCTACGCATGAGAAAGCGGGCGGAAATGGAGAGCACGGGTAAAAATGAATCCACAGGGCCTCGTAAATCCAAGGAGATTCTGGGCAGCAAAGTCTCAGTTAAAGTGAGTAAGGTATTTTGGAGCTGTGCCCTCCCAACCTCTCATCCTGCCTCTTCCACCCCTCAGCATTCTCACCAGTAAGTTTGGGGGAGGTATTTTTTTGTTTTTTTTTTTTGTTTTTTCCCCCCTTCAACTGAGAGAGCAAATAGTTTGGTAGCAGGATTTTGCATGCAAGATCAATTTTTTTAAAAATCTTTAATTTTTCCTGGCGTCTTCAATGCAAGTAAGTATCTTTTTTAAAAAACTTTTCTCTTGGTTCCATATAGATGTTTTTAGCAAAGTTTTCTATAGCTATACCTGATAGGAAAAGTAAGCATTCTCATTCATCTGGCCAATGATAATATAGCAAGGTTAAAAGTGACTGGAGGTTGTAGGGGTGGGCAGTGAGCAGGGTTCTAAGCCACCAAGCTTCTCTATGGAGACTGAGGTTTTGAGTGAGAGGGTCTCCATGCCAGGTTGGTTCGATTACATTTTATTTCTTTCCTCCAGAGTTCAAGAGACCTCAACTTAGTGATATACTCTTTGCCTGTACCCACTTTTCCATGAGTGTGTGGAGGGAAGGGAGGTGGGCACAGAGAGGACACTCAATATAGTCCTGTGCAAAGCTCTGCCCAGCTGATCATAGGCTTCATCAGACACTGGTTCCCACCTAGCACTCTGTCGGCCTGGCTTAGCATGCTGTGTGCTAGGACCTTTCTGCAAAAGTCTGCCATCAGTCAAGAGAAAATTGCAGGCTTGCTTTTATTTACATTTATTATAAGGCATAGTTGTCTGTGTGGGGTTTTTTTGTTGTTGTTGTTTTGTTTTGGTTTTTTGCCTTGAACAAAGCAGGCCCAACCAGAAAGCCTTTTGCTGGTCTCACTTCTGATACATACAGGCTACATGACCTTGGGCAAGTCATTTACCCTCGGCAATTCTTTAAGACCATAAGTTATAGAGAAGCTACCAACCTGCATTACTAGAAAGAATTTCTTCACCTGGGAGTTCCTTATATGAATGAAATAACAGTCCCAGTCCCCATCTTCTGTCCCTGGGGAACCGAAAGTATTCTTTACTTCTTGTTTAGAACCTCTAGCCTCCAAAGAGAAGACAGCGGTCCTGGTTCTGTAGCACCCATGTTCCATTCTGTCGCTTCCATCGCTAGAACTACAGACAGACCATGGCATAAAATCATAGCTGCTGCTACTTTGGCAAAAGCATGCTGCTGCCCTTGGCAACTCGCTACCCCTTTGAAGCATCTTTTTTGTTCCCTATGCCAGTTTTCCCATTCCCCAACCTCTCTGAAGTTCTCCTGCTCTGCCTGGGGTAAACTGCCTGTGTTCTAACTATCTTCTCTTTCTTCCCCCTCCTCATGCTGCCAAACAAGGAGACGAACAGTTCCGAGGAGTCAGAGTGTGATGATCTTGACCCTAATACTAGTATGGAGGTAGAAGCAATTATTGCTGTCCTATTTTCTACAATGAGAATCTTTTTCATATGTGTTCTCTAGAAGCAGCTCTAAATATGTGACCAATTGACCAACAGTTAACAATGAAATATAAATTAAGTCCCATCTCTGGGCATCCATTCCACATCCCAAGAAAATGGCAGACTCTAGTACAACCCAATATCAGTAGAAATCCAATAAAATCCCTGTCCTCAAGCAACCTTAAAAAATCCATAGTAATTGAGAGTTGTTGTTTAATGTTAGTTTCTCAGTTGGTCAGTATTGAGGTGGTCCCTCAAATGAGACATGTTTCAAAAGCCTATGTGGAAATCACTTGCAATTCAATAACTGCCCATAGAAACAGTATTCTGTGTATTAATACATATAACATAAAGGATGTTCATACGGAGTTGTCCAATGGGAATAAAGCAAGGTCAAGAATGACTAGATGTTACAGAAGCAGGGCATAAGTAAGTTTCCAAGTCACCAGGCTCCCCTATGGAGGTTAAAAGCTTTTAGTGAGAAGGTTCTCCATGCCAGGCTGATTTCATTTCTGTCCTCCAGCATTCAAGAAGCATCACCTTCTCTGTGTCCCTTTTTCCATGAGTATGTGGAGGGCAGGAAAGCAGGTACAGAGATAATACCTGACATGTGACCTTTATGCCTCTGAGATTCAGTGATTCTGTATAATAGTATTTAACTTCTTAGCTGGTCCATGAAAACTAGCTTACTCCACAATGTAACTGAAATTAATTCATACTTCCTTGTTTAAATTTGTCAATGTGATTGTTTGCTAAGTCTTCCCTCTCAAATTGTATCCAGTGGCACTCACCCTTATCCAAGATGGCCCTTTGTGGTTACAAAGCTTTTCCCACACATGTTATTTGATATTAAAAAACATTCCCAGGAGGGAGATGGGATAGGTATTATTATCCCCATCCTATAATGAGGAAACTAGGACTCTGAGAGATTAGGTCAGTTTCCCAAGGTCACATGGCCACTAAGCAGCAAAGCTAGGACTAGAACCCAAATCTTCTGAGGACAAAGTCTTTCACCAGGTGTTCTTCCACTATGTCACATCCTTTTCTTCCTCTTACTGATCTTACTTCCCCTACTCTTCTGATAATACTTCAGCTATTGTAATGGGGTAAATTGTTTCTGGGGTAAAGTGCCTTGGATGTGCAATGAAGGAAAGAGAAAGGAACAGGAACATGGTGGCACCAGGAACACCTCTTTCCCCCCCTTCTCTTGCCCCCTTTCTGGTCTTCAGCAGAAGGAAATTCAGTGGTTGGGGATGCGTCTCCGGTACGATGTTCACAATAGTGAATAGGCAATGGTGCCTATCCATCAAAGTATGAGAATGGACCCAGCTCAGGCAACACGCACCATTCTCCCAAGGGTGACCAATAAAGAGGTGGGCGCCCACCCCCCACCTCTGTCATAGAGACTCATCAGATGGATTTCTAACTCCATCCCTCCCAGAGCCTGGCAGAAGTAACAAAAAAAAATGCTGTTTATCAAGCTGGGTTGGAATTGACAGTTGTGGTGAACATGATTCATTGGGTCAAGGGTTCTTAACCTTTTTCAGTGAAGCATCTAGACCAGTCTTCTCAGAATTATGTTTTAAGTGTACATACATACACACATACAGAGAGAGAGAGGGAAGGAGAGAGAGAGAGAGAGAGAGAGAGAGAGAGAGAGAGAGAGAGAGAGAGTGAGAGAGAGGATAACAAGAGGAAACCAATTCTGTTGAAATAAAGCTATCAAAATATTTTTTTAAAAAAAGAAAAAGTTCACAGTCTCCAGGTTAAGAACTCTTGCAGGGGATTTCAAATCACTGTGAAGACTTTTTTCCTAACCTAAAATGATTTCCTGTGCATAGTGAAGTATAACTTGTATTTCTGCCTTTTCTTCTTCAAGGAAAAAAAAAGTTTAATACTCTTCTTTATTTTGAAATTTTAAAAAATGTACTTAATGCCTCTCACAGGGACGATTGGCAGGTTTAGGCTAAACTTTTCCTGGGTTTGCTCTTTAATCCAATAAGTTCCTAAAGATGATCTCCTGCAAGAACTCTACCATGTAAATAAAGCAAACCACTGAATGAGGCAGGCAGGGAGACACAAGAAAAGGTGAGTCATTAATCAGCCTCATGGAAGGCCCAAGCAAATGGTCAGAGGCAAGTGGCTGGGACCTTCTGAGGTACTAGAGAAGTGGATGTAGGAAGCCTGCCAGGGCCAAGTACTGCCATCTGAGTCTGGATGGTGCCATGCAGGTCAAATTGAAAGGGGGTTGATTGTTCTGATGCTCTCTAGGGAAGGAATAGAACAACTATTTATGACCTAGACATCAGAGCTTCCTTAGACAATGGCAAAGGAATGAATGAGAGCATTAATTAAACATCAGCTATGGTAAAGCCTACTACAGGGCAACTAGGTGGCTCAGTGGATAGAGTGCCAGCCCTGGAGTCAGGAGGACCTGAGTTCAAATCCAACCTTACTTCCTAGCTGTGTGACCCTGGGCAAGTCACTTAACCCTGTTTGCCTCAATTTCTTCATCTGTAAAATGAGCTGGAGAAGGAAATGACAAACCACTCCAGTATCTTTGCCAAGAAAACTCCAAATTGGATCACAAAGAGTCAGACATGACTGAAAAATGACCAAATGACAAAAAAAAAAGGTAAAGCCAGCGGAAATGGAATGGATAGAAACTCCTGCCCTTTCTTTGCTTGGTCTGATTATCTTCCATCTCATGGGATCAACAGAATGTTTGTTTGAAGGGCATTGCAGTATGATAGAAAGGACACTGGGCTGGGAATGACAAGACAGACCTGGGTTTGAGTCTTGGCTTTGCCACTTACCAGCTCTGTGACCTTCCATAAGTGACAACTTCAGTTCAACAAGAATTATTAAGTGCCTACTACAATATACCAGGCAAGGCGTCAGGCTCTGGGGACATACAAAGACTATAAAGCAAAGCGATGCTTCTGATAGGGGAAAACACCAGAGACCCGGATAAGTTGTCCTGAGCAAATCACTTAAATTTCCCCATACCTCAGTTTCCTCAAACGTAAAATGAGATGGCTCTGAAGGTCCCCTCTAGTTCTAAATCTGTGAACCTAAGTACAAAGAAAATGTATGCAAAGTAAATGCAAAGTGGCACTGGGCCTGAACCTTGAAGGAAGCTAAGGGTGCCAAGGAACAGAGTTAAGGAGAGGGCATTCCAGGCATGAGGGACTGCCTGGGCAAAGTCTCGGAGGCTGGAGATGGAATGTTGTGAATGGGTTACAGCAAATAGGCCAGTTTGTACCATGTTACGTGTGTGAGGGGCAGTGCTAAAAAATCAATCTCGAAAGCTAGGTGAGAGTTGGGTTCTGAAGGGCTTTAAATACCAAACTGAGGAATTTGTCTTTCATCCAAGAGGCAAGAAGGAGCCACTGAAGCTTAATTACCTCAGTTTACTCATCAGTATAAGAGGGAGAATAATACCTGGACTGCCTGTCAATCCTCAAATGAGCTGTGATTTGTAACTGTAAAGCACAACATAAATGAATGGCAGTGTTATTTATTATGAGGCAGCATGGTATAGTGGATAGAGAACTGGTCTTGAAGCCAGGAAGACCTGAGTTCAAGTGTTGCCTTTCTCATGTATGGAGTGTGTCCTTTAGCTTTTCAATGTTCGCAACAACTGGCTGTAACAGAGAAGGTGCTCACGGGTGGAGGGCGTTTCCTCACCTGAGAGTTCCACATAGCAATGAAATCACAGGTCTTGTCCTTGCTCCTATTATTTATTATCATTACTAATAATGATAGTGCAAGGGGGGAAGGAGACAGGGAATAAGCATTTAGACTAAGCACTTCACAGGTATGATTTCATTTGACCCTCACAACAACCCTGCAAGGTAGGTGCTATTATTCTACAATTGAAGAAACCGAGACAGAAATTAAATGACTTGCCCAGGGTCACATAGCTAATAAATGTCTGAGACCAAATTTGAACTCACGTCTTCCTGACTCCAAGATAGGCTAGAAGTGGACTTTACCTCCTTTTTTCCAGGGTGGAGGTTGAAAATAGAAGGTTTTGATAGATGGAAGGGGAAGATGGCAAGCTAGCCTATTATCCCAGAAGCAAAGTTGTAACCAGCTCACCTCAAGTCCAGGTGGTCAAATAAGCACAACCACAGCTGCTGGATAGAAGCAGGTAGAAAGAAAGTCATTCCCTGCTGGGCAGGTGGTACTACTGGCACATTCAATCAGGGTTAAATGAATTCTGGAGTCTCAGATTGGAAAGGGACCTTGGGGCCACATGGTCCATCTACAGAGACCATCCAGCCTTTGGGTGAGGACTTCAAATGGAAGGACGCCCACTACTCCCTGAGGTGGCTCTCTCCATTTTTTGGGTAGCCTAGGGAGTTTTTTCCTTTCATTGAATTACAGTCTGTTTCATTGCAACTTCCTCTCTGTCCTCTTAGCTCAACTCTTTGGGGCCCAGCAGAACAGGTCCGATACCTTTTCTAAACAGCAGCGCTTCAGATGCTTGAAGACATGATCATGTCCTCCTTAAGTTCTCTCTTCTCTAGGTTATTTGTTCAACTACATACAACATAGCTGATCATTGTGGTTGCCCTCCTGAACTAGTTCAACTCTACACTGTCATCTTCCCTTGAGTCCTTTGCCTTTTTATCATATTATCATTCTTGCCCTGCCAAGCCTCATCTTTAGGTCACTCACACCATCTACCTTTGCTCTCGTCTTTTTTTTTTTTTAAAGGAGGCAATTGGGGTTAGGTGACTTGCCCAAGGTCACACAGGCAGTAAATGTCTGAGGCCAGATTTGAACTCAGGTCCTCCAGACTCCAGGCCTGGCATTCTAACCACTGCACCACCTAGCTGCCCTTTGCTTGTGTATTCTTGCCACTGAAGCTGGAGAAAATTAAGAAACTCTCCTGACTGGGTCTATTACAAATCTATGTTACATAACCTCAACTGAACCCTCACCACTGCT